TAAGCCCTGAGCATCGCCGGGTGTGACCCAAAAAGCAAAAAAATAAAAAAATAAAAAATTTTGGGGGAGTTTTTTGATGATGCTCATGCTCGGGGTTACTCTGCAGTCAGGAATTACTCCTGGCACTGCATTGGGGACCATATGGGATGCCGGCAACCAAAGCCAGGAGGGCCACATGCAAGGCAAACACACTAAACACTGCACTATTGCTCCAGCCCCCTGATTTTTAAAAAAATTTCTTTTAATACGGGCATCCTTCGGTACACTGGCAGATATCTGGGAGCCTGAAGAACTCAGCCTGGAAGTCTCCCGCCTCATAGTCAAATAGGACAAAAGTGCCCTCTATTGACCAGATGCGGAATTGCAGCTGCATACACGCCCTCCTTCCTTCCAAGAGAAGCTGGAGAATCTGGGAGGTTCTTCTCTTGCATATTCCCACCTATTATTGGCCCTTGAATTTACAGCTACAGTTTTGGTGGGATTGGTTCCAGGACCTCTGTGGATGGCAATAAGTGCACGCACCCAATTTGTTAGAAATTCATGTTGTTCTTAACCTACAGATGCTTTTGTATGCTTTAAGTCGGTGGTTGTCAGCTCCCAGACTGCAGAAGGGTGCTGGCTTGGGGGCGTTAAACACGTTGAAAACCACTGGTCTACAGCAGTGATTACTGACAGCGGGTCTGAGGACCGGTGCATGGACACGTGCTGACCCTCAATTGCCTTAAGTCCTCTCCAGGTTAACTATAACACATACAACAGTGGAAATGCTATGTAAACAGCTTCATAAACCTAACACATGGAACATTTTTCTGATCCACAATTGGGGGTTGAACCTATGGGATTGGAATACACATGGCCAGTATCACCGTCACTTTCTAATTGAAGGAAACAGGACCAAGAGATGTGCTGTGACTCTGGATCCTGCAGAGTAAGAGACAGCTCGGGTCAGCTCCCAGATACTCAAAGTGTGGTCAAGGATGAAGGAGTGCAAGTTGCCAGCCTCACCCCCAGAAAACCCTAGGGGAATTTGTTTTGTTTTGGGGCCACACCTGGCTGTACTCCGAGATCACTCCAGGCAGGGTTCAGGAGGAGCAAATGTGGTAGCGGGGATGGAACCAGCCATGTGAAAGGCAAATGTCTTAACCCCTCCACTATCTCTCCATCCCCAATAGGTATTTGTACTCTAAGCAGAGAAGTCTTTGGAACACAGTCAAGTTCTTTTTTAATTTACTTTTATTTTTTTTGCTTTTGGGTCACACCCCATGGTGCTCAGGCCTCTCTCTCTCTGTCTCTCTCTCTCTCTCTCTCTCCTTTTTGGGTCACACCTGGCAATGCACAGGGGTTACTCCTGGCTTTAGACTCAGAAATTACTCCTGGCGGTGCTTGGGGGACCATATGGGATGCTGGGAATCAAATTCAGGTTGGCCGCAGGCAAGACAAACACCTTACCTGCTATACCATTGCTCCAGCCCCCTTAGGCCTTACTCTTGGTTCTGCCCTCAGGGATCACTCCTGACAGGCTTGGAGGACCATACAGGATGTTGAGGATTGAGCCCGGGTCAGCCACATGCAAGGCAAATGCCCTCCATGCTGTACTATCTCTCTGTTCCTACATACCCAAGTTTAAAGGCTGCCTTACAGGAGCTCTAAGGTGTCTTCCTTGCATGCGGCAGACCTGGGTTTTGATTCCTGGTCTCCAATATGGTCCCCTGAGCACTACCGGAAGTGATTCCTGAGTGCTGAACTAGGAGTTACCTCTGAGCATTGCCAGGTGTGGCTTCCAAAAAACAAACAAATTGAAAAAAAATCTGTCTCACTCCCAGAAAATGATCGGGAAACATGTCCTGAGGAGAAACGGAGACTTCTTCACGTTGGCTTTATGAAAAGGGGTTCTGACAGTAAAGCTCTCTGTTACCTGGGCTCCCCCTTACCCTGTGAAGCCTGGGCAGGTGGCCATCGCCATTCCCATTTCAGGAGACCTGGAAACTGAGAGGTGAGGGCTACAGCCAGCATCCTTCTACCTTTTGGTGTGGAGTGACTGTGAGGTGCCCAGAGTCCCCAGAAGAGCAGTAGCACAGGCGTGGGTATAAGCGTCCTGGACTTGCCATGGTGGGGGGCAGCTCTCACCAGGGGCTCCTGAGCACTGTGCCCACTGGGTTGGCACACCTGAGAAAAGTGCTCAGGGGGAACCCATGGTGGTGCTTGCAGAGTCCGGATGTGATGTTGGGGACCAGGGTTGGTGGCGCTCACGGCCGGGGCCTTCTCTCCTGGGCTAGCTCTCCGGCCTGCCTCAGTGCCACTTTTACTCCTCATGGGTCCCGGGTCAGCCACTGAACCCCTGGGCTTCTTCATGAAGGGCTGAGGACCGTCGCGGGGAAAGCTGCAGGTCAAATGCAGGCTCGGAGGAAGAAGTCGGCACAGGCGCCCTTCCTCACGCGTTCAGACATGAAAAACTTTTGCCCCTTCTCTCCCGGTCTGCGTCTCTCCACGAAAATTCAGGGCACTCTGGGGCTAGGAAAAGCTAAAATATACCAGCCTGAGGCTTGTAGTTTGGAGGGTGGGACCACCTTTGCCTGGAAAAAGACGCTCCGCTGCATTCTCTTGGCTCAGATTGAGACAAAGCAAACCTTAAGAACGCTTTGGGGGACATTGGTGGTGGAAAGGATGCACTGGTGGAGGGATGGGTGTTTGATCATTGTGATCATTGTATAACTGAAACTCAAACATGAAGGCTTTGTAACTGTATCTCACAGTGATTCAATTAAAAAAAAAAAAAAGGAACGCTTTCGCTCTGAGCCGGACTCCAGGCCAACCAGTACCATTCAGTCAAGACTGTGACGCAACCCTCTTCGACTCCTATTTAGGGGGTTTGTTTTGGCTGCTCCCCTCCCAGTGCTCAGGGCTTACTCCTGGTGCAGACCATGCCTGGTGCCAGTCGTGAAGCTGGGTCTGTCGCAGGCAGGGCAAGTGCTCTACCTGCTGTCCTATGCTTCTTCTGGCCCTCTTGCCTAACGTCCTTGCTCTTTGTCACCTTATGTACTAAAACATGCACCTGCACCTATGATGATGACATTTCTTCACCTCTTTGAGTAATGTGGCACCTTGGTTCACTGTTTGCTCCTTGATCACACGTGGTCATTGCACTCCCTCATGAATATGCAGGAGTTTCCTGCTAAACTGCTAGACGCGTGCATGCAGTCGCATGCTCTCTCTGCTGGGCACGAATCCAGACTCCCCCCGCACCCTCCCCCATTCTCTTCCAAGCTATGCTGATAGAATTTCCCTCCTGAGTCGAGTCGTTTCATTGCCAATAAGGCTCCTCTCTCCAGTCACGACAAATCCAGGCCCTGGGCTAACATGCGGGGGTGGGGGTGGGGCTGTGAATGACACACAGGTCTGCTTCCCCCCACCCCCCGGCACCCCCAGTCCGGTGGGAGACACTCACCTGAGCTCAGTGTGAGGGGCAGAGCACAAGGGCATCCTGAGCAAAGGGGGCGTGAGCAGAGGAACTGAACCCAGGCCAAAGATCAATATAAATAAAGGACCCGTGTGCAAGCTCTCAACCCGGAAGATAAGGAGTTTGTCGCCTCCAGTTCACCCCCACCCAGGCCCAATCCTTTGCTCAGGTTTGTAGATGAAACGAGCGGGCCTCAAGGGGACCAGCCCGCTGGGAGCCACGATGTTTGGCCTGGTGCCTGCCCAGCTCTCTTGCTACAGACAACCCTCTTTTTGCAACCGTGCATTTGAGAGTCTTTGAGGATGTGAACCCGCCTTCCATGGCTTGCTGCCCGTGAAGTTCTTTCCAGGCCTGGCATGTGTCTCCTGCAGTCCAACCCTTGAGCGGACCTTCTTGGACACAGGAACAGGGCTGGGGGCCAGGCAGAGGCTCCCAGATGGGGCTGCGGGCCATGCCTGCCTGGGAGGGGGGCGCTGCTGGTGGGGTGTGCAATGCCTGGTGGGGTCATAGGTGGTAAAAACCAAAGGCTGGTAACAGAATCACAGGACCGTGGGTAGGGCTCTTGCTCTGCATGTGGTTTGATTCTGACACCCCAAAGGGTCCCCTGAGCCCGCCAGGAATGATCCGTGAGCATCGAAAGGGGTGGCCCCCTCCCCACCGCACCCCACAAAGGCTTTGCAATGTGTCCCGCCCACCCCTGCACTTCCAGGTCAACCCTCTTCCTCCCAGAAGTGACTTGGATGGTTCCCAGCACCCACATAAGCCACACAGCTGAGCAGCACAAACCCTTTTTATTTGCCTCCCTCCCTTGGGTGAGGGTGAACAGGTCACAAAGATGCAGTGTGGCAACCGGGGTTGGGGGCGGGCCGCGGGCTCCTGAGGGTAGACCCCAGCTCCTTGGTCCCACTGGCCTGCTTCTGTGTGATGCCCACTCTGGGTGTCACCCCAGGTCTGAGAGGGACCCAGGGGAGATGGGTGGGTCGTCTGAGCGGTAGGGCCAGTCTGGCACCTCCTGCCCTGAGGGATGGGCTGCTGCGGGGTGGGGGGGGATCCCCACTGCCTCCAGCACACAGGTTCGGGGTGGAGCAGGGAGGGAAACTGAGGATAGTGGAGTGCATTCTGGATGAAGACAGATCCTGAACCTGGGACAGGAGAGCGGTGGGGACCAGGAGGGTCTGACCTCACCTGGCCTGGGACCCTCATTTCACTGTGAACTTCAGTGTAGTGGACGGGCCACCAGGGATGGGCCTGGCGGACAGTGTGAGTGAGGAAACTCACTAGCCCTGGGCTTATGTGAGCAGGAGAGACGAGTAACGGGAAAAAAATTGGGTGACGATGGGATTGGGTATGGGGTGAGCGGACGAGAGAAAACAGATGGGATGGGAGACACCCGGCTGGCTAGTCATCCAGACAACAAACGTTTCCCTGGCAGGCTACTCTGCCAGGCTGGACAGAGGGCAGGGCTGGGCGAGGCCAAATGCAGCCTACGGAGACGGTACTGGCGAGGTGCCCCGGCCTCCCCTGGGAAGAGGGGGCCCATCCGGAGTCGGGGCGGGGCGGGCGGCAGGGGCCCCGTTGCCCCGTGCTAGTTTGTAAACATTAGACTTGGGGGTGGAGGAGGGCGGCCTGGAGCCTTGGTCCGGGGAGCGATGGGCTGAGACGCCCAAAGTTGCCTCTCTGGGCGTCAGGGACTCGGGGTCCGCCTGTGGAGTTGTCCGCACTCGGGACAGCTTCTCTTTCTTCTGCTGTTCCTGTTCCCGAGGCCTCCAGCCCCGCTTCGGTTCTGGGTTCCAGGCGCAGGGGAGTGGGAATGTTGTGGGGTCCCCAGGGTTCCTCTGAGACAGGAGATCTCCCACCACCCACGGTGGAGCTGTCCGTAGATGTGGGGGCTGACTGCACCCCAGAGCTGTCGATGCTACCCCACCATTGGGGAGGGGACGATGTGGGACCGGGGTGGCCCCAGGACTCCCTCAGATGGGGTGTCCTGGGTCCGACTGTCCAACGGAGAGGCAGCGGCTAGGCCACCAGATCCACAAAGATAGCATTGGCTGTGGTCTGGCCGAAGATGAAGGCTCCTAGGGTGACCAAGAAGACTCCGTAGCCGACCAGCGCCCACCAGCTGCAGGGCGGAGAGAGGGGTCATGATGTTGGGGTGGGACCCCCCGGCAGACAGGGGCTGACCCCCAGGAATGGCCCGAATCACAGCTCGGGGGGGGTCCATGCCCCTCTGGGTAAGGACTTTTCACCTGGTGCGTGGCTTCCCCCGTAGGCCCTGCCCGGAAGGAGGCCAAGGCCTCACGCCACTGGCCGGTCACAGCCAGCCCAAGGCAGGCCTGAGTTCTAGCGCAGGTCTTCTGACAGCAGAAGTGTGAGGATACAGTAGGTCACAGGGGGTGTGACCCATGGAAAACAAACAAAAAGCCACGGGGCCGGAGCGACAGCACTGCAGGGAGAGTGCTGGCCTTGCAAGTGGCCGGCCCAGGTTCGATCCCCGGCACCCAAGCAAGTCAGGAATGATCCCTGACTGCAGAGTCAGGAGTGAGCCTTGAGCACCGCTGGCTGTGGGCCCCAAATAAACACAAACCAACCCAACACATCCTGGATGTCCAGCAAGGAGACGACGCGGCGAGCGCGGGCTTTTCTTTGCAGGCTGGAGTCTTGGGTTTGCTCTGTGGCGGTGCAGTGACCCCCGAGCACTGAAGGTTTGCCCCACCCCGCTACCCTCCCCAACAAGCACCCGAACCAGTCAAATCAACGAAAGAGCCCACACCTGGACCAGGGATGAGGCGCCATGGTTGAGTAGAGGCCTCGCAGGTGTGAGGCACTGGGTTCAATGCCCCGTGCAGCAAAATCGGAAACACGCAGGCTACCCCCGCCAGCCCCCCGGCACCTCCTCCGGAGGCCTTACCTGGCCGGCTTGACCTCCTCCATCTCAGAAAGCTTGGCTTGAATGAGGCACAGCCCTGAAGGTCAAGAGGAGCAGCAAGAGGTCAGGGGGAACTCCTCTCTCAGGCTGTGTCCTCCCCCAGGGTGTGGGGGGCCGTGATGAGGAAGAGAGAGAGGGGCCGATATCCACTTCTCCAAAGTTCCCCTTTGCACGAAACCCCCACTTCCTGTGCCCTATTGAGCAACCCCCAGCACTGCGGGGATGGCCCCCACCAAACACAGCACGCCCCGCCCTGGCCTCTCCGAGGTTACTCCGCAGAGTGGAGGAACTCTGAGTGCCCGCCCTGTCCCTCCTGGGAGCTCAGGCCGGCCGGGCCAGCACAGTGTGTGAGTGAGTGAGTGAGTGAGTGAGCGGGAGCGGGGGCCGCACCTGGGAAGACGAAGATGAAGCAGGCGGCCAGGCCCCCGACGACGGAGATGACCTTGCCGATGTCGGGGATGAAGAGCGCCAGCAGCAGCGTGAGCAGGAACCAGGTGAGCGTCTGCAGCAGGCGCCGCCGCCGCTCCCGGCCCACGTCCTCCTCCACGGGGGTGCCCTGGTAGCGCAGCCACAGGCCTTCCACCACTGCCCTGCACCGAGGGAGAGACAGTTCAGTGGGTGCCACGGGCCAAGGCCCTCGCTCTGCGCCTGGTTTCCCTTTCCGTCTGTCCGACGGCGGTGGGGCTGGGGACGGGGAGATGGGGGAGGACAAAGGTCGCCACCGGGCCTTGTGGGGTTCAGGAGGGGCGCCCGCGGTGGGAACTGACACTTGTGACTTTGCAGAAGAGGCAGACACCGGGGCAGCAGCAGGTCGGGTGCAGGGGAACAAGAGGACCTGGGCGAGAGGCTTTCCTGTTGTTTATTTATTTATTTATTTGCTTTTTGGGTCACACTTGGTGATGCTCAGGGGTTACTCCTGGCTCTGCACTCAGGAGTCACTCCTGGCGGTGCTCAGGGGACCATATGGGATGCTGGGAATCGAACCTGGGTTGGCTGCGTGCAAGGCAAACGCCCTACCCACTGTGCTATCTCTCCAGCCCCAAGGCTTTCCTGTTGTTTAGTTTTGGGGTCGCACCCAGCGATGCTCAGGGGACCATGTGGGGTGCCGGGGATGAAACCCGGGTTGGCTGCGTGCAAGGCTAGTGCCCTCCCCGCTGTGCTATCGCTCCAGCCCCCTGGGCAAGAAGAGTCTCAGGGGACACAGAGGATGTTTCAGGGACCCGGAGACCAGCAGTCCCTGGGCGCTGCCTCTTTCCTTTGGCCTCAGGTTCTCCTAGCCCTAAGGGGGTATGGGGTCTCCACAGGACGCCACACGACCAGCTTCCAGGGGGCTCACCGGCCACAGAAGTGCAGGATGGGGTAGGAGGTGAGCACGCTGAGGATGATGAAGGCGCGGGCCACGGCCACTGCAATGTCTTCTGAGGGGTAGGACAGGAGCACGTCAGGGTTCACGGCTGCTCCAAATGTCAGGAAGCCACAGATGCCTGGGGGAGGACACACAGGCTGGGAGGGGCCATGTCCCCAAGGGAATGTACTGCAGCGGCTCTGGGGGCAATGCAGGATCTCGCAGGGTTCTGACAACCTCTGTCCCTGTCTCCACCCTGCTACACCAGGACCTGTGTCCTCCTTAGTCAGGCCATGGCTGGGATGGGCCCTCCTCAGAAAAGATGTCCCCTGTCAGCCCCCTCATGCCTCTCCCCCTGCCCTGCTTTCTTTTCTTTCCTTCCTTGCTTTTTAGGGTCACACCTGGTGGTGCTCAGGGGTTACTCCTGGTTCTGCACTCAGGAATCACCCTTGGTGGGGCTCAGGGGACCATTTGGGATGATGGGGATTGAACCCTGGTTGGCCGCATGCAAGGCAAGTAAGTGTCTTACCAGCTGTACTATTGCTTCAGTCCCTATTTTTTTCCCCCTTTTTCCCTATTTTTGTGGAGCCAAGGATAGAACTCAGGGCCTCATACATGCAAGACACATACTTTTCCACAGTGGCACGTTCCCACACCACCCCACTCCCACCAACTCTATGCTACTCTTCACTGCGCTCATCCCTCTCTGGAGAAGCATTTCTTTTTTTTTTTTAAGTTTTTGTTTTGTTTTGTTTTGTTTTGGGTCACATCTGGCGATGCACAGGGGTTACTCCTGGCTCTGCACTCAGGCATCATTCCTGGCGGTGCTCGGGAGACCATATAGGATGCTGGGAATCGAACCCGGTAGGTCATGTGCAAGGCAAATGCCCTACCCACTGTACTACTTATTGCTCCAGCCTCTGGCGAAGCATTTCTTTTCTTGTTTATCATCTGGATCCCTCCGCTCCTCTCGAAGAGCCCGGCAAGCTACTGAGAGTATCTTGCCCGCATGGAAAAGCCTGGCAAGCTACCTGTGATGTATTCGATATGCCAAACACAGTAACAATTGTCACAATGGAGACGTTACTGGGCCCGCTCAAGCAAATCGATGAACAACGGGAGGACAGTGACAGTGACAGTGACATCTGAATCCCAAGCAGACCCAAGTGCCCAGAGAAGAGGACCCTGCCACTTTGCTTCCCTTGCTTCTGGCTTTGTCTTCTGCGGTCACCTCGCGATGCTGGTCCCGAGAATACCAGCGGGAGGCATCCCAGGGTCTTTCTCCTAGATGTCCTGTTATAACACTTCTCTTTCTGGGCTGGGTGGGGAGTCGGGGGGAATGGCTGGAGCATGTGATCTGCATGTGGAAGGCCCGGGTTCAAGCCCCAACCCCATATGGTCCCCTGAGCACTGCTGAAAGTGACCCCCAAGAACCCCCAGGCTGGGAGTGGCCTTGGAAAACACCAAAAAAACCAGAAGGAAAACAGAAAACAAAAACTCCAACATAAGAAGTTTGCTTCAGGTCCAACGATCCTCCGGGTCTGACAGTGCTCTGTCACATCTGCCCAGCCCCGTCCTGTGTGCCCTGTCCTCTGGCACCTTCAGGTTCCTGCCCGCGGCTCACATTCTGGCTCCTTCCACAGCACGCCCCATCTCAAGTGCATGCAGTTCCCAGCACCCGCCAGGTGGAAACACAGTGCTCTCTCCTGGGGGCAGGGGGAGGGGCACTCACCTGTGCCCAGGTAGACGGCGAGGGCGATGACCATGGCGGCTGTCACCACCCAGCCCCAGGTCTTCACATCGGGCCGCCGCATGCTGTTGAACACGGGCACGCTGCTGACGTGGCACTGCAGGCAGAAGGAGACCGTGATGGTGGGGAAGTGACCTTGCCCTGGACAGGGGCAGAGACGCCAAGGAAAGAGGCAAGGGCTCCCCCGCCCACCCCTGCCATGCTGTCTTCCCTCCCGCTCCCTCTGACCCCCTCCCCCCGCCACCGCATATCCCAGGGTGGGGACAATAGAGGAAACCTGGAATCCGAAGCAGATGGTGGGCATGGCATTGAACACGGCTACCCAGGAGGTCGGCCTGCGGACGAACACACCAGCTGCAGCCCGTGAAACCCAGAGTCCCCAGGTGCCCCTCCCCACAGCCTCCGCTGGTGCCCTAGAGTCTGGGGACAGAGTGTAAGTAGCTCCATGCCCCCCCCCCCCCATATCAGCAAGGTGAGGCCCTGAACACCCTCCCTGTCCCCCCTGGGTCCAGAGGCGGAACTCCTGGCGGGGCCCTGGGCGCATCCTTTTCTGTTCTGCTTTTTTTTTGGGGGGGGGAGCACACCTGGTGGTCTATAGCACAGAAGGTAGGGCATTTGCCTTGCCTTGCACGCAGCTGACCCGGGTTCGATTCCTCCACCCCTCTTGGAGAGCCCGGCAAGCTACCAAGAGTATCTTGCCCACATGGCAAAGCCTGGCAAGCTACCCGTGACGTATTTGATATGCCAAGCACAGTAACAAGTCTCACAATGGAGATGTTACTGGGCCCGCTCAAGCAAATCGAAGAACAAAGGAGGACAGTGCTACAGTGCTACACCTGGTGGTGCTCAGGGCTTATTCCTGGCTCTGCACTCAGAGATCACTCCTGGTGGTGCTTGGGGGGACCACATGGAATGCTGGGCATTGAATTCGGGTTGACCCGGTGCAAGGCAAACACTCTCCTGGCTGTACTCTGATTTGTCCTTTGCCAAGAAAGGAGACAGGCACTGATGCCCCTGTGCTGCCTGAGATCCCTCACCCACCTGGTCAGCATGCCTCCGGGGGTCATCTCTTTATCCGGCCAGATGTACTTGATGATGACGATGGCAGTGACGTACCAGGTGCCCACGACGCTCAGGAAGCTGAAGGAGGATGAGAGGAGGATGAGCTTGGTTGCTGGCTGTGGTAACCGCCCACTCTGGCCTGTCCCAGCCCATGACCAAAAGAGGCTACTTAGAGGAACAGGTTTTTGGAATGTATTGTCTGAAACACAATCATTAACAGCTTTGTAACTGTGTATCTCACGGTGATTCAATTAAAAAAAAAAAAAAAGAGGCTACTCAAGAGAACTGGGGCCCAGGAATTGGAAATTCAAGTGAATCCTGCTTCTGAGGCAGTGGCCAGCGCCAGGAGGGTGCTGGGCGCTAGCCGGCGTATGGCGGGTGCAGGCTGAGGTGTGGCCATCAGGACACACAGCTGCTCAGCTCTGAGGCCAGGGCGAGAGTGGGCCCCAGAGCTCCTTCACTCCATCCATCGGAGCGGCCAGTGCTGGCCCGGGGTGCTCTCCTGAGAGCCAGGACGGCCCCTTTCATTTTGGTGGGGGGAGGGGGGTTTCGGGCCACATCTGGCTGTGCCCAGGGGAGACCACGCAGGAAAGGCCAGTGCCTGAACACTGCAGCACTTCCCCATGCCTGGAAGGGCAACTTTATTTAATTCTTGTTTCTTTTTTCTTTTCTTTTTTTTGTTTTTTTGGGCCATAGCCACGATGCTCAGAGCTTGCCCCTGGCTCTGTACTCAGGAAATCACTCCCAGCGGTGCTTGGGAGACCATATGGGAGGCCGGAGATCAGACCTGGGTGAGTCACATGCAAGGTAATTGTCCTACGCACTGCACTGTACTATGGCCGTGGCCCCAAGGAAGGGCAACTTAACATTTTTGTGCTCTGCGTTGTTTTGTTTTGGGGGCCATACCCAGCAATGCTCACAGGTTACTCCTGGCTCTGTGCTCAGGAATTACTCCTGGTGCTCGTGGGCCAATGTGGGATGGCAGAAATCAAACCCAGGTGGGTCACGTGCGAGGCAAGTGCCCTTCCTGCTGTGCTCTCGCTGCAGCCCTGGAAGGGCAATTTGAAAGGTGAGCTTCCTGCCTGAGGAGCCCTTCGGACACGGCTGAGTGGGACTATTTCCAGATGGAGCACGGAAACAGCCTGGATCACCCCCGCATTTCAGTATTTCAGAGCCAGAGGCAAAAGGCCGACCCCCCCCCCCCCCCATTTCATACCAAGCCATCAGGATCAAATTACTTTCTTGGAGCCTTGGAGATGGTGCAAAGGACTGAGGGCAGACTCAGGGAGCCCCAGGTTCGATCTTCAACACAATTATAGACCCTCCCTCAAGCATCTCCGGGTGTGATCCAAACCAAGTTAAGCCCAAACTCCCATCCTCCCAGGGAAAGCTAGGGCTCAGGCCTGGAGGGAAGGCTGCCTCCCCACTCCCGGGAGCCCCCAGGCCCTCTCTGACATGAGTCTCCAGGGGACCAAGGTCATTGTCTCCTTGTGGCTGACGAGAAAGGAAATCTGTTCTATGCTTTGCTTTTGGGCCACACCTCGGGATGCTCAGGGCTTAGTCCTGACTCGGTTGGGGAATCATTGCTGGTGGTGCTTAGGGGACAAAATGTGGTGCCAGGGACTGAACCTGGCTTCTTCCTGCTCAACCCGGGAAAATCATTTTTCTGCCTGCACACTGCCAGCCTGGCTCATTCCACCTTGGTCCCTCTTGTTGACCCCAAAGGTGTGGAGGTGAGGGGGGTTCCCCGGCAGCCTTGGGTCCCTGGCTGTGAGCAGAGCCGTGTCAGGGTCAGGCAGGGGTGGGGGGGTGGGGTTCCAAACCTGGCATATTTCTGGAAGCCGATTTCCCTGGGGATGGAGAGGGGCAGGATGAAGAGGAAGGCGGTGAGGCTGATGGTGAACTTGCGGTCTGTGTACCAGGGGCCGCTGGCCCCATCAGGCGACTTGGTCATCACGGCTATAACTGGGTGGGTAGGAAGACGGGGGCGTCACGCTGAACACCCCGGGGACAGTGCCCCCTGCAGGGCCAGGCTCAGGGCTGCCCCCAGGAGGATTCCCAGAGGAACCCTGAGCCCCCGGTCTGGGAGATGGGGTGCCCCCCTCCCCCAAACACTCCCCAATCCCCAGAATTCTCCCGGGGCTGCAGGGGCTGGGAGGCACGAGGTCCAGGGTGGAGGGGAGCTCACTCTTGTCTTGCTGGTCCCCGATGATGATGAGGAAGGCGATGCAGGTGCCGAAGGTGTAGACAGCGATGGCCACCTCACACAGCACGCCTGTCAGCTTGCCGCACGCGGTCCACACCACCTCCTGGTAGGTGCGCTCATTGCTGGCCTGGGAGCAGTAGGCCAGGATGACGAGGCCGCTGATGATGAAGACCAGCATGGCCTGCAGGCGGGGGAGAGTGCGGAGGGTGAGGGTGAGGCCTGGCGACCCAGGGTGTCTATGGGACCCGGGGCCCTGCAAGTCTGGCTGATAACTCGTGTCTTGCAGGAAGTTTCAATGGCTGGTGGGGGGAAGGCCTTCTTGAAGGATGAAAGTATTGGGCACTGGGCAGATCGCCGAGGGGCTGAAGTGCATGCTTTGTAGGCAGGAGGCCCGCCAGGGAATTGGACCCAAAACCTCTAGGGGTGACCCCTGAGCACGAACTGGGGAATATCTCCTAAGCAAGGTTGGGTGGGCCCTGGTCCCCTCCCCCCAAAAAAAGGAGCAAAAAACATGTCTTGGGGGTCAGGAGATAGTCCAATAGGCTGGAGGGCAGGCTTTGCATGCAGGATGTTGAGATTTGACTCCCGACACTGTATGTTCCCCCGAACCCGGCTCTGAGTAACTTCAGCACGCTGAAATGGGTGTGGATTCTGAATGCTGCTGGTTGAGTCCCCCAGACCAAACCAAAACACCTCAACATTTTGGGGTTGGAGTGATAGTACAGCGGGGAGGGTGTCTGCCTTGCATGCTGCCGACCTGGGTTTAATCCTTGGCATCCCATATGGTCCCCCTAGCACCTCCAGGAGCAATTCCTAAGTGCAGAGCAAGGAGTAAACCCCTGAGCATTGCTGGGTGTGACCCCAAAAAGAAAAAATAAATCAATAAATAATAAAAAACCCAATCGTTTTGTGGAACACTCTAAACTTACACACGGAAGCAGAGAGAATCACATAATCAAGTCCCAGGTTTCCTCTGCCAGCCTCAAAAATCAATTCTTGGGCATTAAAAAAATTTTTTTTTATGTTTAGGTTTTTGGCCACAACTGGTGATGCTCGGGGTCACCCCTGGCAGGGCTGTGCTGGGGACTGCACCCGGTCAGCTACATACAAGGCAAACACCTTACTTGCTGTACTGTCTCTCTGGCCCATTTCTTGGTCAATCTATTCACTTCTCCTCCCATTTTTGGTTTTTGTGGTTCTGGGTCTCACGTTGAAGGCCCCACAAAAGCAAGACAAATGCTCTATGCGGAGCCACCTCCCTGGTCCTGGATGACTTCGAAGAGGCCGCACAGCATCACACTGACCAGCAGTAACCACCTTTTTTTCCTTCCCAAGTGGTGCTCAGGAGGCCTGGGGTGGAGGGGCGCTCCTGGAGATTCTCTTCCAACTTGACCCGCTGTTCAATGTCAAGACCTGCGGATGTGGTTCTGCTCGGGCCCTGTGGTGTTGGGAATGAACCAGGACACCCCAGTGCTTGGAGGACTCCAGGGACACAACCCAGGCCTCACGGGTTTCCAGGGTGGCACCCAGTAATGCCTGCAAGACCATGTGGCACCAGGGATCCAACTGGCACAGCGAATGCCTTAAGCCCTGGATTCTTTCTATGTGGTTCCAAGTGTCTTCAACATCACAAAATTATTACTTTTTTTCCTTTTTGGGTCATACCCGGTGATGCACAGGGCTTACTCCTGGCTCTGCACTCAGGAATTACTCCTGGTGGTGCTCAGGGGACCATACGAGATGCTGGGAATAAAACCCAGGTCGGCCGTGTGCAAGGCAAATGCCCTACTCGCTGTGCTATAGCTCCAGCCCTTATTACTTATTTTTATATATAGAAAAATGTTTTATGTTATTTATTTATTTATTTTGTTTTTTGGGGTCACACCCAGCAATGCACAGGGGTTACTCCTGGCTTTGCACTCAGGAATTACTCCTGGTGATGCTCAGGGAACCACAAGGGATGCTGGGAATTGAACCTGGGTCCGCCGAGTGCAAGGCAAACGCCTTACCCACTGTACTATCGCTCCAGCCGCCAAAATGTTTATGTTTTTATATTTAGGTTTTTTTTTTTTTGTGGAGGGGGGCAGGGCATACATGACAGTGCTCAGGGCTAACTCCTGGTTCTGTGCTCAAGGATCACTCAGGGCAGAGCTCTGGGGACCAATACAGAAAGCTGGGGACTGAATCCACCGGGCTGCACGCCAGGCAAGTCCAAACCTGCTGAACTACTGCTCTGGCCCCACAAAATGACGCGACATGCAATATGCTGTTCATGATGATGAAATGAGATATGCAATGATGATTATGAAACATGCAGTCCTTGTCTAAACATCTCTCATGGCTGGAAAGGCTCTGGAAGCCACATCTGGGCTCAGAGGAAAGAACGCAGGGACAGACCAGAAACGCCTGCCTTGGGGGACCGAGGAGAGAGAGAGAGGGGTGGCCAGAGGCACCTCGAAGCCTTCCTTTGGAGACCTGCCCACCTGCCACTCACCATCTGCAGCGTGACGCCAGCGGCCACGCCCCCGGCCGTGCTGAAGGCGGCGGGGAAGTTTAGCAGCCCCGCGCCCAGGCAGGCGTTGACCACGATGAAGACGGCCCCGAGGGTGGAAGTGGTACCTCTGGCCAGGGACCCGGGAGAGGTCTCCCCCTCGCTCTTGGGGGCCGTGTCCACGCAGGGGCTCTGCAGCAGGTGGGCCCGCTCACCGGCGTCCGAGCTGGAGCCCCACTCTCCGTAGTCACTGTTGATGCTGGCCTGGGCCATAGCGCTGGGCGGGCTCCAGACCTCAGGACCACATACCCCGAGCAGCAGAGGGAAGGCGTCTGGCTGGACGCTCGGGGCGGCCTGCTCGATCGGGCGCTTATCCGGGGGCCTGCTGGGCTCCTGCTGCTCTCAGCCTGGAAGGGACAGAGCACAGTTATCCTGGAACAGCGCGGGAAGGCCGGGAGGAGAGAGGAGCAGGACAGGCCCGGGATCACAAGGCCTGAGCACGTGTTCTGCATGTGGGTTTTTTTTTTTCTTTTTTGGTCACACCTGTCCATACTCTGGGGTTACTCCTGGCTGTGCACTCAGGAATCACTCCTGGCGGTGCTTGGGGGATGCTATGGGATGCTGGGGATTGAACTCAGGTCTGCCGTGTGCAAGGAAAACGCCTTACCCACTGTGCTATCGCTCCAGCCACCTGCAAGTAGGGTTTGATTCTGGGGCTACTACGGTCCCCCATGCCACGGGGAGACCCCTGGACACCATGCTGGGAGTGGCTCCTGAGCTTTGACGGGTATAGAGCAAAGACAAAATAAGAAAACAACAAAGAGGGGCCGGAAAGACGGTCAAGTAGGTAAAGCATTTGCCTTGCACATGGCTGACCCTGCTTTAATATCTCGCATCCCAATGGTTCCCTGGGCACCACCAGGAATAATTCCCGAGTGCAGAGCCAGGAGTAAGTGCTGAGTACCACTGGGTGTGGCAAAACAACAACAACAACAAGAAGAACAACAACAACAGGGGCTGGAGCAATTGTACAGCAGATAGGGCATTTGCCTCTCATGCAGCCCATGTTGGTTCCATCCCCGGCTTCTCATATGGTGCCCTGGGCACCGCCAAGAGTAGTTTCTAACTACAGAGTCAGGAATAACCCCTGAGCATCACCAGGTGTTACCCAAAAAGGAAAAAAAACCAACAACAAAAATAAGCCCAACTACAAACTCCTTAGCTGCAGAGATCTCAATGGTCGAGCTCCTGCTCTGCATGTGGGTGGCCTGGGTTCAGTTCCCAGCACCTCACAGTGCCCTGAGCCACCAGGACCAAGTCCCAGAATACAGAGCTGGAAGCAACTTCTTTGGCTTGGTTTTGTTTTATCATGAGGGGAGTTTTAGTCTTTGGTGTATGATATTCTGAAGAGATGGGTTACTCTGTCCTCAAAAAAAGAGTGCAGGGCTGGAGCGATAGCATAGCGGGTAGGGCATTTGCCTTGCATGCGGCCGACCCAGGTTCAATCCCCAGCATCCCATACGGTCCCCCAGAACCACCAGGAGTAATTCCTGAGTGAAGAGCCAGGAGTAATCCCTGAGCATCGCTGGGTGAGACCCAAAAAGAAAAAAAAAAAAGTGCAGATGTTGGACTCCTCGTCAGTGCCCAGGTTGGGGCTCCCTGCTGGTCAGGAAGAGGCATGGGTCAGCACAAGTGGACAATAGCCTCACCCTCAGCATAAAGGGGAGAAAACAAAGTAGCTACAAGATCCACCCCGCCCCCTTTTATTTTGTTTTGGGGTTATATCGGGCAGTTCTCAGATCTTACTCTTTGCTCTGTGTTCAGGGATCCCTCAGTCTGGCAGTGCTCAAGCTCTGTATGGGTGCTGGGAATCAAACCTGGGTTGGTCCCATGTAAGGCAGGCACCCTACCCACTATCCTATATTGTTCTGACCCCACTGTGTGTGTGTGTGTGTGTGTGTGTGTGTGTTGGGCTTATTGGTTCTGTGCTCAGGGGAATCTATGTGGTGCTGAAATCAAACCAGAGTCAGTTGTGTGCAAAGCAAGTGCTCTAACTCCTGAATTGCCTTAACTCCTGAATTATCTCTTCGGACCATGATCCTTTAACAGTACTAGATCTAGATACTCATACTTAGGAACTAGAGTTCTTGCTGGTATATGTTTAAAACATCAACAAGTTCACTGAACTGTAACATGACCCAGGGACAAAAACATGAGGCGGGAAACCCAAACAATTTTCGTAAATTGTGGACTGAATTTTCAGCTTGCAGTTGGAATCAGTATGTGGAAGGGCTTTTGCTATATTTCATTTCCTAAAAAAAAAAAAATGATTAGGGGATAATTTTTTTGGTGGAGGAAAGAGGCAGCTTTTGGGCTACACAAGGCAATGTTCAGGGGTTCTTCCTGGCTCTGCACACAGGAATTACTCCTGGTAGTGCTTGGGGGACCATATGGGATGCTGGGAATCGAGCCCGGGTTGGCCACATGCAAGTCAAGTGCCCTACCCTCTGTACTATCACTCTAGCCTTGATTAGGGAACATTTTGATGGAAGGAAACCAAAGCTCCAGGCATCTGAGAGCACTCCCAGGTGTGGCCCAAATGCACCCCTGCCTGTAGATGAGGATGTTATCTCATTCGGTCATCAAGGTTAGAGCCACCAAATCACTGGTTACTATCAGCAAGATTTGAATTTATACCCTTTTGACTTCCCAGCCTGCTACTGGGTCCCCAGAGTCATCCTCCATACAACTGTGGGGTCTTTACCACATCCCTCTGGCCTCGATTCCAAATTCTTATTTCTAGGGTTCCTATAAATTCAGGCAGGAGCGGGAGAAAGAGCACCGGGGTGAAGGTGCTTGCCTTGTGCACAGTCGACCTTGGTTCATTTTCCAGCATCGTGTACAGTCCCCCAAGCACTGCTGGATGTGGCCTCATCCCTGCCCACCCTTCCAATAAAACTCAAGCCAATGCTCCTGGGCTTGGGGAGGTGGCCCCGTTGTTGAGTGCTTGAGGACCAGAGTTCCCTATTCAGCAGGAAAAACAAAATATTCAGGTCAATAATCCCACGTGTGAAGAGCTCTCCTTCACGTTTGGGTCCTCAGGAAAACATCACAATTCTGTGCTTCTGGGATGCTCTCTTTCAGGTCCCACATCTTCCCCATTCCTGGGAGACTCACTAGCTTTTCCTGGAGCCCCTGGTGCCCATCCCTGCTCAGACTCGTGTCCGTTCCTATTCTCTCAAGTGCCAGCGTTTCACAGGCACTGAGTCTGTTTCCCTAAGCCGGATTTCAGCAGGCTCATTACTTTTTAGGTTCACAGGCTGTGAGCTGAGTTAGCCTGGGGCCAGACTCGGCCGTCCCCTGAGGCTCCTGCTGGCCGGCAGTTGCCTAGGCTGGTGAAACCTTCCAAAGACTTCCATCCTCCGAGTCTCCTCCCTCTGCATCTCCTCTTTCCCAAGGCTAGAACTCAGGCTACAGACTGATTAAAAAAAAAATTCCATGTTAGGGACCAGAGCGATAATATAGTGGGTAAGACACTTGCTTTGCAAATGGCCCACCCAGGTTCAATTGACCAGAGTTCAATCTCGGGCATCTCACGTAGTCCCCTGTGCACTGCCAGGAGTGATTCCTGAGTGCAGAATCAGGAGAGTGAGCCCTGAGCATCATCGGGTGTGGCTGCAAAATAAAACAAACAAAAGGAAAACTCCGTTTCACTTCCCATCACTTCCTCCCGGTTTACTCTGCTCCACAGGGGAGGATCTGATGGATTCAGTCCTAATGATGGATCGAGTTACTGTCCATCAGACACTGTACCTTCTGAGGCCCCTCTGCGGGGACCAGAGTGGTTAACAATGGGCAGGAGCGACAGTTCAATGGGAAGGTTCCTGCCTTGCACACAGTTGACCTGGGTTTGGTCCCTGGCACCCTATCTATCCCCTGAGTACTGCCAGTAATGATTTCTGAGTGCAGAGCCAGGAGTAAACACTGAGTACCACTGGTGTGGCTCAGTTCCCTCTCTCTACTCCTTCAAATAAAAGAACATAATGGCTAACAAGGCCCTGAGAATGGTCAACCAGGGCCCGAGGGTGATGAAATCTTCACTACTGTGCCTCTTGGTGGCGAAAAAAGTAGGGAACCATGTACACTGGGAAAGGGAAGATTCTGGGGTCTGGGACACTCAGTGGCAGAACGTGCCTAGGAAGCCCAATGGCTTTTGCAACCAGCGATGCTCAGGGGTTAGTCCTGGCTCTGCACTTAGCAATTACTCCTGGTAGTGCTCAGGGGACCACACAAGACTGCTAGAACTTCGGTCAGCTGCGTGCAGGACAATCGACCTACCCACTGTCTTATCGCTACGGCTCCTGACTTCCATGTCTGGAATGGCTCGAGATGCCAGTATGTCATCCCCGCCACTGGGGATCCTGGCTGTTACAGGCCCTGGTGCTACCACGCGGTGTGTTCTCGAGTGCACTGCAAACCAAATACGTGTGAGCCCTCCAATTCTCACCACCTCAACCACAAAAGGGAGGGGAAATGAGGCCCATAGAAACAAAAGAAAAGGAACAAGGAAAGTTCAGGTTCTCTTGACACCTGTCACCAAGAATGCAATCCAGGAACACCGACCTGGAGACAATATCCCTCCAGCTGCTGGCCCCAAATCCAGAAAGATCTGGTCAGAGTCTGTCCCAAAGGGCTTTCTCTTACGCAACTGGCCACCCAGCCAGCAACTCAGCAAAAAAGAAAGAACGAAAAACCTCAAAGCGCTGAGTAGGCTGAGCAGGAAGCACAGCCTTGAGGCAGAGCTGGGGAGGAAGCCCCCAGCGGGTCAGCGCTGCAGAAGGGTGGGAAGGGCGCTAGGCAGAGGGGAGCTGTGCTGCCCGCCCCCCACCTCCCCGCCCCCGGGGCACACCTCGCGGCCTCCTTTCTCTCCTCTCCGCCGCTGTTTCTCAGTTCCGATCGCCCCAGCTTACCTGCTTCTTTCCACCTGGCGGGCTACAGTGTGTATGTGGTGGGGTCTCTCCTTGCTGTTGCTTCTCCCCAAAGATCTGGGATGATTGGAAGTCCCTCACTCCCTTCGCTGGCCACAGCGTCCGCTTTTTCTCAAGGCTGTACCAAAGCTGCGGGCAGCCGAGAAGAAGAGTTTGGTCAGGAGGCGACCCGCGCCGGGAAAGTGAGCGGCGCCGATGGAACCCACGGACTGGAGCACCGGCCTGGCAAGCGGGGCCCCGGAGGGAGAAGGACCAGGCTCCGGTCACAGTGGGGCGGTGGCAAAGGCAGAACCGGAGCCCGACGCCCCCACGCACAGGCCAGGGCTGTCGCCACCCTCAGCCCCCCTCCCACCCTCTCCCCAACTGGAGCGAGTCTCCAAATACAACAGCAGGGGTTGAATCGCAGAAACAAAGCACGCGAAATAAAGACGGGCCGGTTGCACTGGGCTCCGGGGGCGTAAGGGTCGATCCCCAGGCCTCAAGAGCGCCGGCTGTGGGGTCTCGGGGTTCGAGCGGGGTCCGGGATCGGGGGCGGGGGCTGGGGGGTGGAGGGTGAACAGGCCGGGCTAAGGTGCTGCAGGGCCGGCTCCACTGAAGGGGGTCCGGTGGAACCCCGGGAATCGGGCGGGGAACGGATCGGGCTCTGCAGCCGCAGAGGCTCGGGGGAGTCGGCGATCGGACGCCCCCAACCCTCTGCCTTTCCGCCACTTACCTACGATGATTTCATTAAGAAGCCGGCGGCGGGGGACACGTGAGTCGAGATCACGTGACACCTGGGTCGGGCGCGAGGATTCTGGGAGTTGTAGTTTTCAGCAGGAGTCACGCTCTGCCAGCGCCCGCTCCCCGGAATCTGGGTTCTGCCGGATCAGGCTGGCGCCTAGCCCGCTCCAGTGGTGCTCTTGTTGCTTTTAGTCTTGGCATGTTGGCCAAGCCAAGCGCCGCTTCTGCTCCCGAGCCCGAGGAGGTGGGGCACGCTGCCAGCCCCGCCGCACGGAGTTACTGGGCTCCTTCTCCTTCCCCGGGTCCATCCTCGCCTTCGCGCCGCATGCTGCAGTTTGCTTGGTCCTGGAGATCCCAGAGACCATTATGACCATCCTCCCGGAGAGAGAGGGCCGCTCCGAATACTGTCTCTAACCCCAGATTCTAGATTCTGGAACAGTTTCTGAGATCTTAGAGTCACTCCCATAAATTAAACAGAGCGTGACTGGCTGAATGAAGGAATGAGGTTCCAGAACCTTGGTTTCTGCTGAGTGGCACTTTTAAGGTATCTTGGGGAGGAGGGGTCTTGCTACCCGCGATGCTCAGGGCTTACTCGTGGCTCTGCACACAGGAATCACTATTGGCCATGCTGGGGGACCGTATGGGACTCTGAGGATCGAACCTCAAGTAGACAGCGTGCAATGCAAGCACCTTACCCGCGGTACTCTCTCTGGCTCTGTCAACGATTTTTTTGTTTTGTTTTGTTTGGGGGTCACACCTGGACGACTTATGGATCTGAGCTCAGGAATCACTCCTGGAGATTGAGGGATCATGTGTGGTGCCATCATATATGATGCAACGGATATCAGCCACATCCAAGGCAAATGCCCTGCCCCCTGTACACTATTGCCCTTCTGCTTATTTAGCCCTTTAAGGAACTGCAAGGCTCTTTTCCAGTGCAGCTGCACCATTTTACATTCCTTCAGTGTATGAGGGCTCGGGTTTCTTCACATAATTTCTTCTAATAATTCCTGATTATTAGCCTAATGGATGTGAGGCAATTCTCAGTGTGACTTTGTATCTTCCTGATGACTAGTGATGTTTTCATTTTTTTTTTTTTTTTGCTTTTTGGGTCACACCTGGCGATGCACAGGGGTTACTCCTAGCTCTGGCGGTGCTCAGGGGACCATGTGGGATACGGGAATTGAACCCGGGCCAGCCGCATGCAAGGCAAACACCCTACCTGTTATGCTATCTCTCCAGCCCGTTTTCATCTTTAATGTGCTTATTGACCATCCATATGCCTTCTCTGTAAATATACTCATACTTTTCTCAATTATTCTTCTTAGTTTTGGATACCAGAGATCAAGCCTATGGCATGCTAGGCAAGAGTTCTACCCCTGGGTTACATCCCCAGCTTGGGTTTTGTGGGCCACACTGGCTGTGCTCAGGGCTTACTTCTGGCTCTGTGTGCAGGAGTCACTCCAGGTGGTGCTCGGGGACATATGTGGTGTGGAGATTAGGATGGAAGTTGGTCATGTGTGAGGTAAGCATCTTAACCCTTTGTACTCTGAGCCCAATTTTCCCTTTCATGGTGGTCTTTTCTTCAAGTCATCAAGTGAAACAGTCCTTTCCTTTTCCTTTTCCTTCCCTGTCTTAGGATATCCATTAGCGATGTAGAGAAGAGACCCTGCTGTGCACTCACCCGAGTGAGCAGCTGGTCGAGGAACAAGCTGGGCTGGCTCTTTCCTCCTAACATGAAACTGGACCTTTCGGGCTTGATGCCTACTGCGCTGCCTGTTCAGAGTACATCAATCTGAACTGCACTGGCTCCTGGCCCACCTGGTTATAGGAACCAGGCAGCACTAATGCAGCACCACTGCTAGATGTCTGCTGCCAGAAGGGGCACTCTTGCAAGTCATTTTAATTTTTATGGAAAAAAAATTTTTTTTTTTAATGAAACAAGTTTTCATTGAAAGAAATTTAGAGATGTGAGTGGAGAGTGAGATGCGGGGGAGGGGAAGAGAGAGAGGAGAGAGAGAAAGAGGAGAGAGTGCTGTTCGAGAGAACATGAGTTTGAAAAGGCAAGCAAGCTCTACTGGGTTTTTGGACTGCTGTGCTCAGGGGAACTTGTGGAGCTGAAAAAACTGAAAATCAGGTAAGCTGCAAGCAAGAGCCTTAACCCTGTACCAGTTTTTTTTTTTTTTTTTGCCACACCCAGCTGTGCTCAGGGCTTGCTCCTGATGGGCTCAGGGATCTCTATGGAGTAACTGGGATTGAACCTGGGTTGGCTGCATGCAAGGCAAGTGTCCTGTTTGCTGTACTAGCTCTCCAGACATTCAGCTTTCTTAGGGGAAAAAAAAACCCCTGCATTTTTGGGGTTAGAAAATAGTGTAGCGGGTAGAGCACTTGCCTTGCATGTCACTGACCTGGGTTCAAACCTTGGCACCCTGTCTGGTCCCCTGAACTCTGCCACGAGTGATCCCTGAGTGCGGAGCCAAGAATTAAGTTCTGAGCACTAATGTATGTACCCTAAAACAAAGAAAAAATGGGCAAAAGTTTGGGGCCAGAATAATAGTACAATAGGTAGGTATCTGCCTTGTCTAGTGTAGCTGACCACAGCTGATACGGGCGATTCCCAGCATCCCACATGGGTTCCCGAGCCCTGCTAGGTGTGTTCTGAGTAGAGCCAGGTCTAGTCTACAACACAACCAGGGTGGCCAGAAAACAAACAAAAAATTTTATTTTTTAAATTTTTGCTTTTTGGGTCACACCTGGCGATGCACAGGGATTACTCCTGGCTCTGCACTCAGGAACCACTCCTCGCGGTGCTAGGGGACCATATGGGATGCTGGGAACCGAACCTGAGTCGGCCGCGTGCAAGGCAAACGCCCTACCCGCTGTGCTATCGCTCCAACCCCAAACAAAAAATTTTAAGTTTCAGCATTTCTGGATTATCCTGGCATGCATAAGAAAGGCAAAACATACCAAGATGCATTTTTCGCCTCTATTTGCAACAGCAAACACAATTATGGCTTTTGGTCAGGGGGGACAAGACCCCAGTTGGGATATACACCCACCCCTTACACCTTTTTCTCCCATTAAAAAAAACCACAACAATAACAAATACAACCCCTCAGACAGTGGTTGGGATGACTGATTTTTATTGTAACATAGAAACCAGGCTGCAGTAGGTCTATCCGATCAGGGCAGACTGTCATCTTTCCAAAGGGTAAAGCCTGAGCCCAGTGGGCAACACATAGGGGTCAAACCAAATGGAAAGGATGCCCAGAAAGATCATCTTTCCTGTTCCACCTGGCAAGGACCTGATTCAAGATGAGAGAAGGACGCACGGCTGTGCTGGGTCAAGGGGCAGGGTCCGACGACCGGGGTAGAGGCCACAGCCCGATAGGGGTGATGAAACGATCATCAGAGAGGATGCAGAAACGCGTAGTTTCCTACTCTTCACTATTCTTCTTGAGACAGGGAAGGGGAAGAGACGAGCAGTGAGTGCCCTCCTTAGCTTTCCTATCAGCCAATCCTACGGGATGGGGTTGCCGGTCAACCAGTGGGAGAGTAGGGTGAAAATCTATAACTACTTACTGATCTTTGTGCCGAAGGAAACCAACAGCGAAAAGGGACAAGAGGAACATTAAAATGCCCATAAGTGTTTAAAATAAAATTTAAAAAAGGTGAACCTCTTCTTCTTTTTTAAATTAAATAATACAGGAAACAAATCTTGTAATTTCCTTGCTGCGGGGGTGCAGCAAAGCACTGATTTTCAGAAAAACACGATTTCTGTAATAAGCTCTACTGATAAGGTTGCTTAATCACAGAGAACAGACAGGAGGCTGGCGGTTAGTGTCAGGCTAGGTCTTCTGGCCACGCCTCTGCTACGAGCTAGTTCTCACTCTGGGCCCGCCGAGAGGCCCCCAGCACCACAAGGTGTTTGCAGTTAAAGCTTCTGAAATATTGCAATGGTTGATTGATTGGGTTTCTTTCCTGGGGTGAGGATGGGGGGAGACTTAGGACTTTCTCGTACATGTAAACTCCTTCGGAAAAGCTGGAGATCAGAGGACGAGGGAAGAGTTTGGTTTAGCGCCACAGAGGTCCAGACCCCAGCCATGGACGCCTCTGCCCTGTTCAACTACAAGTTCTTTTCTGAGATACACATCCAAGCGCTGAGTGCTAAGCTCTGTGGTTGGAGGAGAGGAGCCGCTGGCCGCCGCCTCTCTTCTCGTGGGGGGCTCTCAGGGCGGCAGAGGCCAGACCCTCTTCCCTCTGAGAAGGACGTTACTTGGTGACCTGGTGAATGGCGTGGGCAAGGTAGCCCACATTTCCGGAGGTGACCCCCGCCACAGAGATGCGGCCGTCTTTCGTCATGTAGACGGAGAACTCCTTGGTCAGCCGTTCCACCTGCGGAGAGAAGAGGACGTGGGTACTCCCTGGGCCGGGGGGCTGTCCCCGCATGGCAAAGGAGCTAACTACTGGGACGGAAAAAGAACACAAGCTCTATTTTCTCACGTCAGCCTGAGCCCCAGATTCTGCAGTACCAGAGAGAATGAAGAGTTATCTGTTTAATTTCTGTTATTTATTTATTTTTTGCTTTTTGGGTCATACCCGGCGATGCTCAGGGGTTACTCCTGGTTCTGCACTCAGGAATTACTCCTGGTGGTGCTCAGGGGACCATATGGGATGCTGGGAATCGAACCTGGGTTGGCGGCGTGCAAGGCAAACGTCCTACCCGCTGTGCCATCACTCCAGCCCCCCTGTTATTTATTTTTTTGGTGGGGTGCAAACCTGGTGGTGCTCAGAGCCTACTGCAGGCCCCACGCTCAGAAGTGACCCCTGGTGGTGTTTGGGGAAGACCAACACTGCTTGTCTTAGCCCATACGGCAAAACATGAATTCTGAGGTGTGTCCACATGCGGAAAAAAAAAATTTCTTAGAATAAGAAAATATGTGTGAAAATAGGCCAATGGGTCATGGCTATGGCTCAAGGAGGAGAAGCCCCTCTGGGTGTGCCCTGGTAATGCCAGAACTGGGCCTGAGCGCCTTGCTGGGCGAGCACCAAACCACCAGGCCTGCACTGCTGGGCCAGGTTATCTTCTGCAGAGGCCCCTGGGCTCTCCAGCACTGCTGGGTGTTGCCCTTACTTGAAAAAACAAAACACCCCGGCCCCCCCCCCCCCCAACAACAACAACAATACAAAAATCAACCCCAAAAGTGGGACTGGATAGTACAGCATAAGAGACATTTGCCTTGTACACAACGAACCTGGGCTCAATCCCTGGCACAGCTGATATGGTCCCCTGAGCCCTGACAGGAAGAATTCTTGCCAGGAGCGATCCCCGAGCGCAGAGCCAGGAGTAATCCTGAGCATCGCTGGGTGTGGCCCCCAAGCAAAAACCAAACAAATAAAAAAAAAAGGAGCCGGAGTGAGAGTACAGTAGGACTTGCTTCTCACACAGCCAACCTGGGGTTCAAATCCCAGAGCCCAGCAGGAGTGATCCTTGATTGCAGAGCCAGCCTTGAGCACTGCCGGCTATGGCCTCAAAACCAAAAATTAAAACCAAACAGAGAAAAAAGTGCTCATCTCACAAGTGGTCAAACCCAGTTTGAGTCTGATGCGTGGCACAGGAGGGATCCCTGAGCACTACTGAATGCTCAGGGGAAAAAAAGAGAAAGGATTCAGAACTCAGCCAAGAAACACCTATTTCTCCTACCAATACTCAGACTCCCACTTCGTTTGGCATGGCAAATAATTAGAAATATAGCACTGTAGCACTGTCCTCCCGTTGTTCGTCGATTTGCTCAAGCGGGCCCAGTAACGTCTCCATTTTGAGACTTGTTGTTACTGTGTTGGCATATCGAATATGTCACGGGGAGCTTGCCAGGCTTTGCCGTGCGGGTGAAGTACTCTTGGTAGCTTGCTGGGCTCTCCGAGAGGGGCGGAGGAATCGGACCCGGCTTGGCCAGGCTGGCTGCGTGCAAGGCAAACGCCCTACCGCTGTGCTATCGCTCCAGCTCACAAAACATATACTACAACATACTTTCTTTACCTCAAAGGGCTCCCAAGAGTTGCTTTTTATTTTTATTTTTTAATTTTTTTTTTGCTTTTTGGGTCACACCTAGCGATGCACAGGAGTTACTCCTGGCGGTGCTCAGGGGACCATATGGGATGCTGGGAATCAAACCTGGGTTGGCCGCATGCAAGGCAAACGCCCTACCCGCTGTGCTATCTCTCCAGCCCCAAGAGTTGCTTTTTAGATGGCCATGACTTGGGAAGAATTTTCTGATTTGCGATGACTGATTAGTCTGCAGAGAGGTCAGAGCGTACTCACCTGCTCCGGCTTCAGCCCCGTGAAGCAGAACATGCCGATCTGGTCAGTGATGTGCTGCCAGTTGTGGGATGAGCCCTCCTTCTTGAGGTTGGAAACCAGCTGAGTCCGCATACTAATGATGCGGTCGGCCATGCCCTTCACCTCCTGCAGCCTGTGGAGAAACACCATAGGGGCTGGGATGCCACCCACTCTTCCTGGGCAAGCTCTGAGAAGCACAGCTGAGCATCCTGGCACGCCCAGAGCCTGCCCGCTGTTTCTCACTGGCTCATGTGCTGGCAGCTCTAGGAGAGCTATTCCATTGCATTTATTTATTTTTTTGGCCTTGGAGTCTCACCTGGCGATGCTCTGGGATTACTCTTGGCGGTTCTCGGGGAACCATATGGGGTGCCGAGGATCAAACCCTGGTTGGCCGAGCAAAGCAAACACCTTACTAGCGCTCTGGAGTCCGCTCTCTCCCTCCCTCCATCCCTTTGTCTTTCTCAATAACTGAATCACTCTGAAGCACAGGAAGGCCCCAACTCTTCATCCTTTATGCAGGGAACAACAGCTGTTGGCTAACAGGAAAATACGGCCTTCTTTTAAACAAGATCATAACTAAACTTCCTGCCTTCCCAGTAAGTACCCTGCACTCTGAATCTACCATGGGGCTGAAGGCTGGCAGCCGAGGAGAGAGTGCAATTGGGGTCTTGCCTTTGAAAGCTTACAACTGGCCGGAGACAGCAACAGGCTGAGTGCACGTTTCACATGCAGGAGGCCTGGGGTCAAGCAGTGGCACTGTGTGGTCACCTGGGCACAGTCACACACAGCCAATCAGAAAATGGCAGTTGTTTTTTTGTTGTTTTGTTTTTGGACTACACCTAGTGATGCTCAAGGGTCATTCCTGGCTCTGCACTCAGGTATTATTCCTGGTGGTGCTGGGGGACCATATGAGATTCTGGGGATTAAACCCAGGTCAGCAGTGTACAATACAAGCACCCTTGCCTCTCGGGCCCTGGAAATGGCTGTTCTAATAAAACCTTATTTACAATAGGGGACAGAGCCTAGGGGATGGCTCAGTGGCTACACATGCAAAATGTGAAGTCATGAGTTTGGTTCCTGGCACAATGCACATGCACTGCGCATGGGTCTAGTGGCGTGGCTGTTTGGGACCCCCAGGGCCACCCGAAGGTGTGTGGCCCTGGGGAGCAGCCCAGCGAGCACCAAATCGAAGCATCTGAGACCCTGGTCAGTGCAGTAGCAGCAGCAAGAAAGGGAAGGGAGAGAAAGAAGCAGTAGGGCGGGGGACTCTTGGCCTGTCCTCTCGTGCCTTTAAGAGCCAGCCCTGCGCTCAGGACGGCCCTCCTAAACGGAGAGGGAGGTTACTGTGCGTCCCGCCGGTTTCCTGCAGTGGGAGCTCCACACAGCAGGCAGACAACACACAGGCTGGGACAAGAGGGTGACGGTTTCTCAATTGTGTCTCAACCCATTAGGTCGTTCACAGACTCAATGTAACTGGATACAAGTGGCATTTACAAATTGCTGGACTACAGTACACTGTTCTGGTCTCAGTGTACGTGCTGCCAAGGCCAGGGCTGGCACGGAGCACAGCATGAAGTCTAGTATTACATTTGTTTTTACCTCCTGCTGTTTCCCACCTCCCGCCTACACCTAGAGCCCCAGACATGCAAGGCAGAAAGGGCTTTACTGGGGAGAGGATCCTTAACACTTTAAAAAACACAAGACAAAACAAAACAAAACAAAAAACAACCACATTACCGTTACTGAGGACTGGAGAGACAGTGTACAAGGTCTAAGAAGACCCCAGTTTGTTCAATTCCTGATACCACACGCGATTCTGAGTACCACCAGAGGCCATTCCCAGGCACAGAAACACCAGCAGTCCCTGAGCACTGTTGGGTATTTCCCGGCCCTCCCAACTCCAAATACTTAGCTTTATTATTATTATTATTTTGCTTTTTGGGTCACACCCGGCAATGCACAGAGGTTACTCCTGGTTCTGCACTCAGGAATTACTCCTGGCGGTGCTGAGGGGATCATATGGGATGCTGGGAATTGAACCCAGGTTGGCCATGTGCAAGGCAAATGCCCTACCTGCTATGCTACTGCTCCAGCCCTTAAATAGCTTTATCAATTTCGTTTTTTGTATTTGGGCCACACTTGGCTGTGTTCAGGGTTTACTCCTGGCTTCATGCTCAGGGATCACTCCTGGCGGTGCTTAGGGAACCTTATGCAGTGCGGGGGGATTAAGGACAAACACATTACCCACTGAGATATCTCCCCAGCCCTATTAGTTTTTTTAGCTTCCTTTACATTTTACTTTCTTTCTGTTGGAGATATACAGACAGCCCATGTTTTTCCTTTAAGTGCATCAGGAAACATTCAATCTATGGTGAAGCATTAACCTATGCCTGGCAAAATACGTAACTCCTACTTCCTTTTTTTTTTTTTTTGTGGTGTAGGGGCCCAAACCAGGAGCCTCACACATGCTCTACCTCTAGTGCTCCACACTCCTGGCCAGCTGTCTCATTTTACACACCACAAGTGTGCGTATTCAGGATCATGACAGGAAATACACAGCTCATGCAGACTGCGGTCAGAGAAATCGAGCAATACATTTCAGAGGCCAGGTGCTAAGAGTCAACTGCTTCTACCTACAGAACAATGACATCACAAAACAGCTCATGGATCATTTACTCATAATTAGAGCATTTACACAACAATGGCAATAAATTTTCCTTGTACTGGCTGAACATTTCTTTAGAAATATTGATTTATAATCAGAAATCTATCTGCTCTCTGGGGGCTGGAGCAATAGTACAGTGGGGAGGGCGTTTGTCGTGCACACAGGCGACCTGGGTTCAATCCTCATATGGTTCCCCGATCACTGTCAGGAGTAACTCCTGAGCATCGACGGGTGTGACCCGAAGAGAAAATTTTTTTAAAAAAGCTCTCTTTCCCTAACTCCTGATATGAAGCTCCTGAAACAGTTCGAATTCTAAGGTGTCAAAATATAAGAGCATCAGAAGCTTCTTGTGTTCTAACGTGGTCTCTGATTCGTTCCTGATACCCTGAAAATCCCCAGGCGACTGAAGTGCCTTTTGTTTGATCGGGGCCAATCCTTGACGGGGGCTGATTACCAAAAGATGATTAGAAGCTCTGGACCTTGAGCCTGTGCCCCGCTCTCTGAAATCGGAGTTAATACTCAATCATGCCAACCCAGTGACGCCTCTGGACAAATCCCAGCACTCCGGGGCTGGGAGAGCGGCTGGCTGTCGACACGTCCACATGTTGCAGTGCTGTCCCCAGACAGAAGAGAGAGAGAGAAGCGCTGCGCCCCCTTTTGGCGTGCCTTGCCCTACTCTCATCTCCACATGTCTCTCTCTTTTTTTCTTTTTTGGCTTTTTGGATGCACAGGGGTTACTCCTAGCTCATGCACTCAGAAATCACTTCTGGCGGTGCTCAGGGGACCATATGGGATGCTGGGAATCGAACCCGGGTCGGCCACGTGCAAGGCAAACGCCCTACCCGCTGTGCTATTGCTCCAGCCCCTCCACACGGATGTCCTTTTACGATTTTAAGTGACGGACACAGGAATTTCCCCAAGTCCTATGAGCTGCTCTAGCGGACTGGTCAAACTCATGGAAAGGGTCGTGGCGCTCCAGCCCACACAGGCTGGCAACCGTTGTCTACAGGGTGTGTGCGTGCGTGTAATCTCTTAGGGCTAGGCCCTTAGCTGACAGAATCTGAGCTATCTCTGGGGAGTGTCAAAAAGAGTTAACCTATCGCTGCCGAGAGCTGGCTGGTATGAGGAAAATCCACCACACGCCCAGTGACCACAAGCATCAGAAGTGAAGCATATCCTGTGGAAGTGAAGGAGACATAGAGGACACCCACAGCAGGAAGAACTGAGTTTCTCCCTGACACTGGTTTGGGGGAAAAGTGGCAGTTTTGCCTTTTAAAAAACAGGACTGGTAATAAGAAACAAAAACATGCTGAAAAGTTCATTCAAAGATGCCTGTTAACAGGACAAAACCAAGAAGTATTTATGTGTGTCCAGACTGTCACTGTCCACATGTGGCAGTGCTGGGGTGGGGGTTGGGTCACACTGGGCTGCACTCTGGGGCAATTCCCTGCTCTGTACTTAGGAATGACCCTTAGTGGTGCTTGGGGGACCAGATGGACTCGTTGAACTAGGATCAGTCGCAAGCAAGGCAAGCACCCTGCATGTACTATCTCTCCAAGTCCCCAAGTATGATATTCTTAATAAGAAAGTGCCCCTCCAGGGCTGGAGCTCTAGCACAGCGGGTAGGGCATTTGCCTTACACATGGCTGACCCGGGTTCGAAACCCAGCATCCCATATGATCCCCCGAGTACTGCCAGGAGTAATTCCTGAGTGCAGTGTCAGGAGTAACCCCTGAGCACTGCCGGGTGAGACCCAAAAAGAAAAAGAAAAAAAAAGTGCCCCACCCCATCTCTGGGTCACACCCGGTGGTACTCAGGGTCTACTCCTGGCTCTAAGCTCAGATAGCACTCCTAGGGGGGTTTAGGGTGCTGAGGGGACCCAGTCCGGGTCAGCCACATGCAAAGTCAGCGTTCCACCCACTGTACTATCTCTCCGGCCCTGGACATTGTCCTCTTGGATACTTCAGTTTGAACATGAATTTGGGAAAAGGGAAAATTTAACTAACAAAACAAAACAGAAAGATGATGGAATTAAACAACTATCCTTTCGTCTTTTGTACAGGAGTGTGTGCAAACAGAAAAAAAGCGTGAGTGCCGTCCCCTGTCCCTTGCCACCACAAACTCATGCAGTGGAGTTTCCCACATTTGAGGAAACTGTGGGGCTGCCACACACAGTTTGTGGACAGTGTTGCCTGGGAGACCACCTCTGTGATAGTGACATTTCTCCTGGCCAGTATCAAGGACCATTTCTGACTCACGTTTGTCTCTTATGGGGAAAGACAATGGCGGAGCTTGGAAGGGTCCCTGGGAGAGTGGGCGGGGGCTGGGGGCCTTTACCATTGCTTTCGCAGGTCAGGGGTGTTGAGGATGGTGGCAGCGATCCGGGCCCCGTTGACGGGTGGGTTGGAATACATGGGACGGATCAAGATCTTCAACTGTGACTCCACCCGCTTGGCTTCGTCAGCGTCTTTGCAGACCACCGTGAAGGCCCCCACGCGTTCCCCTGGAAAGAGAGAACAGCATAATGCATGCTTCCAGAGTCTGAGGGTCTGGGCGGACCCTCACACACACCAGCACACACACCAAGGCTGCGGGGAATCCAGAGTAAATTCCCATTTCAGTCAGAAGTGTTATAAAAGAAGCTGCTAGAAACAACAACAACAACAACAAAAACAGGTTTCAGGGGCTGAAGCAATAGCACAGCAGGTAGGGTGTTTGCCTTGCAGGCGGCCGACCCAGGTTTGATTCCCAGCATCCCATATGGTCCCCCGAGCATCGCCAGGAGTAACCCCTGAGCATTGCCAGGTGTGACCCAAAAAGAAAAAACAAAACAAAACAAAACAAAAAAGCAAACAGGTTTCAACACTCATGATGTTGACTGTGTAGGCTGAGTATTCAACACTGTTCAAAGTCCTTTTTTTTTTTTTTTGCTGTATCCAACTTTATTAGCTCAATTATCAGTTGCTTCTTTTTTTTGGGCCACACCAAGTGGTGCTCAGGGGACCACATCGGGTGCTGGGGATTGAACCTGGGTCAGCCGCAAGCAAGTGCCCTGCCCGCTGTATTGTTCTCTGCAGCACCTCAGTGGCATCCTCCCCAAGACTCTTCAAACCCACCAGGACCCACCAGGCGCCGAGTCTCTGGCTTACCGTACAAGCCCATGTTCTTGGCATAGGACTGGCAGAGACAAACGTTGATGCCCTGCTCGATGAAGTGGCGCACGGCCCAGGCATCCTTGTTCCCGTCACCGCTGGCAAAGCCTTGGTAGGCCATGTCGAAGAAGGCAAAGAGATTGTTTTTCTGGGAAGGCCAGAGAGGATAACAGAAGCTTTAGGCCGTCCTTCCGGGAGTCTCCGGAGCATCCTCTGTGCTCGCGAGCACCAAGGCCCAAGCATCAGGCCCATCACTGCTATCTCCGCGCGACACTCTCCCAGTGCTTCCCACTCACCCCGCTCCCCGCATGGAATTGACAGGAGAGAAGGAAAGGGAACTGGGGAGCTTCCTCCCTCACACTCTGACTCTGACCCGGCTTTCTCTGAGGGCTCGCCCACTGGACAACGATGACCGACAGTGGCCAGCAAAGTGGCGCAGAGGGATGGGACATGACGTAGTGGAGGAAATGATGGGATGTGTGAGCTGGGAGCCGAGCAAATGTAGGTCCCGGCAGAGTTCTGGGGGCCAGGGCTGCCTCCCGTCCAGGCCAGCCAAGGACCAGGGTTAGTAGAATTCCCTCGGGAATGACGGTCCAAGGAGCATCAACGACACGGCTACTAAGGAAACCGCAGACGCTTCACACGGGCGCAGGGCTAAGGCCGTCTCGCTGGCGAGGAGCTGGCCGGGTCACCCACCGGGGCCCACTCTCACCTTCACCACTGTTGCGATCTCCTTCCACTGCTCGGGACGAGGGTCCACGCCCGTGGGGTTGTGGGCACAGGCATGCAGGAGGAGAACACTCTGCTGCGGCATTTTCTAAAGGGAAGAACAGCCAAGAGGTTAGAGAACTTCCGGGACGATCTGTCGCCTGCCGTGTCACACCATCACTGTTGTGTGACAATTAACGAACCAACGCCAGTGGGCCTGGGCCAGAGGCTTGCCCCGGCTACTGGCAGTGGCAACCGAGGTGCAACCGGGAGACAGCCAAGTCTGCACCAGCTCATGCGGGGCTGGTGGCCGACGCCCCGGTCTGTAACCGGCACTCACCGAGATGTCCTCGAGAGCCCCCGTGAAGTCAAAGCCGCACGTCTTGGGCTCGTAGTAGCGGTACCCATGGAGCTGCATGCCGGCGTCCCTGAAGATGGGGGTGTGATTGCCCCACGACGGCTTGGGCAGGAAGACATCTCGGCTGAACTTAAAAAACCGTTGCTGGAAGAAGGGAGGACAGGGGGTGGAAAGATGAATGGAGGAGCAGGGGGAAAAGTAACACGAACGGCTTTCTCTTTCACCGAGAGGACAGTCCTCTCTGAGAGCCACTCGGGCACGGATGTTACCGGGCACATTTGCAAAAGGGCATTCACTCAAGTCCTCTCAGGAAGACGCAACAAGGGCCAATAGAAGAGCGTCTAGTAACAATGTGCATGAATTACAGCACACGGATTCCTTTCAGTATTGCTGTTACTACTCAAATACAGTCCGTGTGCTTCCATCCCCCTGGACTTCACTGCTGACCAGGAAATCTTCCGGTCTTGTGGAATAAGAAAATCTACCTGCAGAGAAACCCCGGCACCCCTCCCCTGAAGGACGTTCCCGACTTACCAGGAAGCTGGCTCCAATCCGTAAGGCCCCGGTCCCAGAAATGGTCTGCACGGTGACATACTGCAGGAGAGAGAGAGCACAGTGAGGGGACAGCGACCCTCCCTGGAGGCTGGCCCATGGTGTTCAGGACTCTCCCTTTATCAGGCGCTGAGGACAAGTCTCCAAAGGAGTATTTGGGAACAAGAGCACAGCACTAAGGCTTCCCGTCCCCAGGTGCTAAGACACTGCACTGTCCTCCTGCTTCCCAACAGCTATTGCCACCCTTCCAGACCCTTTCTTTCTTTTTTTTTGGGTCATACCTTGTAATCCCGGGAGTTAACTCCTGGCAGTGTTTGGGGACTATATGGGATGCTGGGGACTGAACCAGGGTCAAGTGCAAGGCAAACTCCCTATCTGCTGTGCTCTCTGGCCCCTGCCTTTCGGTGTTGGGGCTGCAACTGGTGGTGCTCAGGGGTTTTTCCTGGCTCTATGCTCAGCAGAGATCCCTGGCAGTACTCGGGGTACCAAATGTGTTGCTGAGGATTCCAACTGTGGCCGCCACATCAACGTCACTTAGCATTTCTTCTTTTGTTTTGGCTGGGGGGTGGGAACACACAGTGATGCTCAGGGGTTACTCCTGGCTTTGCACACAGGAATCATTCCTGGCAGGACTCAGATTGGGGGAAGGAGCCACAGTAAAGTGGGTAGGGCTGTCTTGCATGCAGCTAACCCGGGTTCCATCCCTGGCATCCCCTATGGTATATGCCGAGCCCTCCCATGAGTAATTACTGAGTGCAGACGCAGGAGTAACCCTTGAGTATTGCTGGGTGTGACCCCCAATTTTGGGAATTTAACATGAAATGAACAAAAGCACACAAGGACTAAGAGCAAAATCCGTCCTAAATTCATTAGTCAAAGGATTACTACGTTTTCAGAATACCTGCTAGAGTCTGGGATTGGTACCAAATAAAATCTTCCTGCTTAAAGTCCTAATTGCAAAGCAGAGGGCCACGACAATGTCCGTGCTACTCACCCGGCCACTTTTCAACACTTCGTTGTTCTCGCCCAGGGCCAGCTCTGCAGACGCTTTACAGAAGTCGGCCAGGCCTCCGATGGGCAGGTATTCTTTGTCCAAATTTTTGGCCGCGATCTGGGCCTCTGCCTAGACAAGAAAAAAAATGACAGCCATTCAATTTCTTCTCTTGAGCAAGAATCACCATGATCGATATTAGGTGTTTTATAAGTGAGGCCTTTTTCAAATTTGGAGTTAGTGTCCAAGAAGAAGGAAAAGTACAATGCCGAGTATTCCATATTGCATATATATATATATATATATATTTCTGGATGAGTATGATTTGTCTCTTAGTTAGCATTTAACACAAAATGGCTGCTTTTTATTTATTTATTTATATGGGGGGTGGGCTGTGTTAAAGAGGCTCCTCCCAGCTCTGTGCTGGGGGAACTGTGAGGGGTCCAGGTGATTAAAAGTATACACTCAATGCACTGAACTCTCACTGGTCCCCAAACAGCTATTTTTTGGATGCACCAGACAAAGTTTAGGAAAAATACCTTTGAGGAGGGGGGTGGGGGGCTTGGGATGACGGAGGTAAAGCACCCGCCATACATACACAAGGCCCGAGATTCATTCTTTGCACCCCAAAACAAAACAGCACCATAACCCCCCTAACTTCTCTCTTCCACACACACACACACACACACACACACACACACACACACACACACCCTCCCCCAATTTCTTGGTAACTGAAAAAAGAGAAGATCTGGGACAGAGGGACAGATCAGTGGGCTGGAGAATATTAGATCCACAGCACTGCACACAATCCTGAGGACTCTCAGCGTGATCCTGAGCACTGAACTGGGAGTAGCCCCTAAACAACAAGGTGTTCGTTTAAGAACCCGAAAACCCCCTTATCACTCAACAAAGGATACAATCTGAATGGTTGTTTACAACTATTTATATACATATCAAAGTTTATTGAATTGTATACTATATTCATGCTGCTATAAATAATGATATCTCAATAAAGCTATAATAAACAATAGGTACAAGCCGATAAAATCTAGCTAAATGCATAAATGAAAAAAACACGTCGAGGGAAAATGTCAGTCTGACAACTTATAATAATAATAAGAGCTGTAGATCTTTATCCTTGGGAGTCACAAGGTTCTGAGCAAACTATTTTTGCCTTTCTTTCTTTCTGGGTCATACCCGGCGATGCGCAGGGGTTACTTCTGGCTCTGTACTGAGGAGTTACTCCTTGCAGGGCTTGGCAGAACCATATGGTATGCAGGGATTGAACCCGGGTCAGCCATGTGCAAGACCACTGTACTATGTCTTACCCACTGTACTATTGCCCTGCAAACTATTAACATTTTCTGGGTCTCAGTTTCTGCCTCCTGAATGGGGTGAGTAATTGTGTGTACACCTCATTATTGGGGGAAGAGATAAAGTAGGAAAAAGCATGCGGTGTTCCAGAAGGCAACAACAGTGAAAACTTACTGAAAACTTCAAACCAGTGGGGTTGCTTTGTGGGCCACACCCCGTGGTGCTCAGGACTTACTCTCAGCTTTGTGCTCAGGAATCACTTCCGGCAGTGCTCGGGGTACCATGTGGGGTGCCAAGGAAAAAAGCCGGGTAGGTTGCGTGCAAGGCACATACGTGCTTTAACCCCTGGTCTATTCTCTCCTGCCTTGCCCCCAGGACTAAACCGACACTAATCCTGTTTTCTAGATAATCGCAGACATTCAGTCCATGGAGCACGGAGTTACAGCCTCTCACCTTCTGCCAAGGAAATCAGAACCCAGAAGACTTGCCTGATTCAAGCAGAAACGGCTGCGGGAGACTGGCAATCAGCCTCTCCTCCCCAGTTCCCTCACGCTGTACCCCACAGGCCTGCCTGCTGAAACACGCACCCCAGGAAAGGCGCTGGAATGTGTCACAGGTGTTGAGACTTTGCACTGCCTATATCCTTTTTTTTTTTTTGGGGGGGGGGGGGTCACACCTGGTGGTGCTCAGGGCTTACTCCTGACTCTGAGCTGAGCGATGACTCCAAAATGGGGCTTGGGTCACTGTAATGTGATGAACGCGGGTTGGGGGGCACGCAAGGCATACATCACTATTCTATCTCTCCAGCCCGGCATCCCCTATGTGTACACATGCCACAACACAGCAAGGCTGCTCTATATCCTCCTGGGATTGGTAAGGGACACACACACACACAGACACACAGACACACACCCTTCATCTAGATAGGATGCTTTATGTACTGCTGGGATTGACAAGGGACACATACACGTGCGCAGACGCACACGCGCACACACAGACACACAGACACACACCTCACATCTAGATAGGATGCTTTATGTACTCCTGGGATTGGTGAGGGACACACACACACACACACACACACACACACACACACACCCTTCATCTAGATAGGATGCTCTATGCACTCCTGGGATTGGTGAGGGACACATACACGTGCACGCACACAGACAGACAGACAGACAGACACACACACACACACACACACCCTTCATCTAGATAGGAAGGATGCTCTATGTACTCCTGGGATTGGTGAGACACACACACACACACACACACACACACACACACACCCTTCATCTAGATAGGATGCTCTATGTATTCCTGGGACTGGTGAGGGACACCCCCCCACCCAATCCAGATGTTTTCTGTTTCTCTTGCTGTTGTTTTCTGCAGTGCCACCAACTGAGTCCAGGGCCTGACACATATGAGGCAAGAGCTCTACTGCTGAGCTAGATATCTGGCCCTAAAACCCTCACGAATTCACCCAAGAGAAAGCCCTGGAAGTTGTGTCTGCATTTATTCAAACTGCCAGCCCCCACTCTGGAGTGGTCTGTTTTCTTCCCTCTCTCCCTGAGCTCTGCCCTCTGCTCTGGGGAGCTGGTTTCAGATTACAGTCCCCGTCACTGGTCTCCTGACTCTCAGCCCAGCTTTCCCTGCTGCCTGGCAGGAGGCTCACCCCATGCGGGCAGGAAAGGGGCACCAGCTCACCTTCCGGACACTAGGGAGCACGTAGGGCTTCCCATTGTCATCCCGGTAGGCACCGACGCCCAGGTTCATCTTCTTGCTGTTGCTGTCTCTCTTAAAGGCTTCTGTGACTCCCAGGATGGGGTCTGGGGGCCCCATCTCCACATGGGTCCACCAGGAGCTGAAATGGGAAACATAAGCCATCAGTCCAGGGAGCTCGATGTCCACAGTCAGCTCTTAGAGCTACCAAAAGCCCATTCCCACCAGCGTCACATTGGGCACAGCAATAGGGGGGGTAGCTGAGCAATGGGTGAGACTTCAGAGCATCTTACTGGAGCGGGAACAGCGGAGGATTTCCATACAAATGCTGCGAGCAGCAGAAGCAGAGGGTGGGGTGGAGAGAAACCCTTAGTCCTCTGGGGGGAGAAGGGGAGCAGAGAATGAGAATGTGTGGATGTTCAGCAGTTTGAAGCAGTTCAAACCCCACTGAGGGGCGGAAGTTAGCTCAGTTTGAACCCTGAGACAAAAAAAAAAAAAAAAAACCATGAAAATTTTGGGCATCTTTCGCCTAAAACAATCTTTGAGAAAAAAAAAAGAGTACTTTCTTTTCTTTAGGGGAAAAGAAGCAAGGAGCTCTTTTCATAGTTTCATATTAGAGAAAAACAAGTCTTCGTGATCTCCTAAACCAAGCATTAAGAACCCATAATAAGTGAAGAACAGAGCTAAGGAGATCTATAAATTAGCAAAGAACTGAGCTTAGGAGATACACACAGTTCCTTTCGACTAGATTAGTCCAGCATGGTAAGCTGTGGGGATTTATAAATAGTGTAGGGTGTGGGATGATGCGGTGATAAAGACAGGCTCAGGACACAGAAGAGTATTTATGGAAGAGACGACTTACTAGCCAGGTAGGGGAGGAAAATTCTAGAATTGGGAAGGCTTCCAGGAGGAGGTCACCTGGGAGGTAAGCGTGGTAAGGATGAAAGGGGAAAATGCCATTCCAAGCAGAGGCATAAGAATAAAGGCTAGGGGGAAAGAAAGCTGGGATGTGCTGTAGAAGAATGTGGGACCTAGAGAAATGGGGCCCTAAATTATTTAGGAGACACAATCCCAGTTCTTAGGGATCATTTGTCCCTTCTCAACTAGAAGAACATTTCAGCTGGGCACAGTGAAATTTCTGTGCTCACCAGCACACAAACTCAGTGCAGTATTTCATTAGAATTTCTTTCCCATCACTGCCCTCTGGAATCCATGTTCAACCGGCACCTGGGCACCTCTGGCCTCCATGAGGCTCGCGGGATGGGACAGGGCGGCTGATCCATACGGGAAGAGTGAAGTTTTATACTCCCCGGACAAGTAGAAACTTGCCTTAGTTGCAACAGATTTAACTGGTGTGTACTGCCTCATCATCTGCACCTCAAGGACGGATTATCCCAGCTATTTTTTTTTGGGGGGGGGGGGGAGGTGGACGGGAGAGGGGGCGGAACTTAGCAGGCTTTCACTTCTTCTAAAAGCTATGGGTGATCACTGGACTTGAGGATCGCCTTCCGGCTGTGGAACACAGGAGCATCAGTGAGCTTTGCTAAGGGTCAACCTTTCTTATCTGTAAAATGGGGATACAGGCTGCTTACAAAGGGGGGTACAAGATCAGTAGGGATATTCCTTTCTTTACTTGAAGTAATGCATGTGATGTTACGGATATAAACAATATTCACTGTTATTACATAAGTTAAATGAATTGATCTAGCTACATATTCTCTGGCAACTTGATTTTAATGATCCATAATTACCCTTATAGTTAAAAAATAAATCAGATTCCTTGACTTTAACATATAAAAAAAAAGAAGGGGGTTACAAGACCACTTGGGGTACAGACTGCTTACAAAGCAGAAAGGAGCCATTTATATAAAACTTTCCAGACACTCTCACACGGAGTCTGTGCTTGATCTTGGTAGCACTGGGTAAGAAAACTATTCCAGTAAATTTCCACTTGTAACCACCATGCCAGTATGGCGGCAGGAGAAGGAAGTACACAAACAATTTACGAGGCTCATGCAGGCCTCTCTCTTTTCAACGAGAACTGCGTAGTCTTTCTTCTACCTCACTACCTCTATCGCCATGAATGAAAAAAAAAAAAAAAAACCAAACAGAAAAATCCTTCTTGCGTTTTTCCATTGTTCCAGGCTGCTTGGTTACTCTAGGGTCTAAGCAATTGCAAGAAACAGTCACTCGGAAGCAACTTCTGAACTGGGCCTGAAGAAAGCTTTCCTGGCATCCAGTTCAGAATCTGAAGACAAGCAGGCACCTGCCTACTGACGTTCCCCTGGCACTGCTAGCGTCACTCCTGAACCCAGAGCCAGGAACGGCTCCTGAGCACTGTAGTGTGTGGCAATGGTTGTCTTCAAGGATTTAGTGGAGATTAGTGACACCACCATCAGCCGCATGGGCAGAGGCATTATTCCCGTTACCTGGCATCCCGCCCTGGAAAACATTTTTTTTTTAGGTTTCAGAATGGGTGTCTTATTTCTTTTTTATAGTGAAACACCAAGAGGCACAGTTGTAGACTTACAAATTTTTGTGCTTGGGTTTCAGTTATACAATGATCGAGTACCCATCCCTCCACCAGTGCCCATTATCCACCACCACTAATCCCAGTATCTTTCCCACCACCCATCCCCCCATCCCACCCTGGAAAACTTTTAAGTTCTTTAAGAAGCTGGGTTGGAGAGAGAGTACGGTAGGTGGGGACTCTGCCTTGCACGCTGCTGACCTGGGTTCAAATCCCGAGTAAAGAGCCAGGAATAATACCTGAGCACTGCCAAGTGTATCCCCAAACTCCTCCTTCTCCTCCTCCTCAATAAACAAACAAAAAACCCCAAACACAATGAAAAAAATAATCCAAAAAACCTAAGATAAATTCTAAAATCAAATTAAAAAAATTAGGTGAAGCCCACCTGAAATACAGGAGCAGAGCTATTTGACTTGATTACTACAACATTAAAAAAAAATCTGACTCACACATTCATTATTTCATCCCTAAAGAAAGAGTAAACGTGCTGGAGCTTGCCATCCAAATGTGTAGGATGCTTGCCTTGCACGTGGTCCCTGGCATCTCATATGGTCCTCCATGCACCACCAGGAGTATAGAGCCAGGAGTAAAGCACACTATTGAGTGAAGGCCCAAAACCAATCCCCTGGCCCCCCACAAAAAAGAGAGTAGAGATTGGGCCATGGAGCTCGCTCACAGGGCTGCAGCTCGAGCTTTGCCTCCCAGAGCTCCAGGTTCAATCCTGGGTACCGCATGGCTCCTGCCCCCAACACTGCTGCTGTCTGTGCAGCCTCTCCCAAAGGATGTGGGCTCAACCACACTGCAAGAACTATTCTGTGTTTTATTTTTAGTTTTGTCAGTTCTGGGATAGAACCCAGATCTCACGTCTGCAAAGTGGATACTTTGCCACCGATTTCCAGTCTCAGACCTAAGAAGTTGGGTTTTTAAGGGATTATACTAGATGAAAAGAAGAGTACATTAGAGGCAGGGTGGGATGGGAGGGATGGGGGTGGGAGGGATATTATCCATGGTGGTGGAAAATGGGCACTGGTGGAGGGATGGGTATTTGATCATTGTATAATCGAAAACCAAGCACAAAAAATTGTAAATCTACAACTGTACCTCATGGTGTTTCACTAATAATAATAAAAAAAAAGAAGAGTACATTAGGGTTAAAACTGACGCTGATAACTGGTGATCTACTAAGAGATTCTTATCAATGCACTTTGGACATGAGCTCAAAGCTTCAGCCTTTGAGCAATATTGACTAGCTGAATCAAAAATACTCAGATAAGCATTTCCAATATAAATTCCTTGCAATTTTCTGACGAGTTAATCTAGTTTTTTAAATGCTTTCCCTTATATTCTTATCTTAAAGAAGCAGGTAATTTGCTCCTGATCACAGACACTAAAAAGATGGCAAAGATAATAGAATTTTGATCAGTTTGATTAATGTAGTGCACATTGCCTTTCCATATGATTTCATAATACTTAGGCTATTCCATTAAAAAATTAATCAAAATTAAAATAATTAAGAGCGATATCAGCACAAATGAAAAAAAAATGCACTGCATCTTCTTTCTTCACTGACCTGTGACTACATGTCTTATTTATGACCTTATGCTTTGATAACACTGATCATGAACAGATGAAAAGGTTAAACAGTGTTGTTCCTGAACTTAGAGAATTCTACCTGAGTTTCCCAGATATAAAACTCAAGGATTTCATAAGTTAAATTCTTGCCTCCCCGCCGCCTTCCCCTTCAGAACAGCCACTTTCAAAGCTTCATTGTTCTAGAACAAGTTGTTTATTGTGATTTTTATTTTTTGGGGGAGGCTGTGCTGGGGATTGAATCCAGAGCCTCCAACATGCCATGCAAGAGCTCTCCACCGCCCCTACCCAGAGTATGGGAGACCATGCAGTGCTGGGGGTCTAACAGGACCAGCTGAGCCATCTCCCCTACCCCAGGTTGAGAGTGTTTGAAATGCTCTCCACTTGGATCGTTTGGTTTTCAGTCGAGATTCCTTCTACAGTGGTGGGGGTGAGAGTTCTCACTTCCGTGTGTGAAGAGTTAGTATAATCATGGCACCATATGGCAGCTGGCTCTGACATCCAACCCTGTATCACTGAACAGCACCCCCTCAACAGCAGATATCCCAATATTTTCAGTTTCTTTTTTTCCCCTATGCATCTGGCGCCACTGTGCTTTAGACCTTATGTTTAGCTCCTGATAGAAAATATTAGTAGGCCTGTTGCAATAATTATAAAGTTTGAAATAAAAACATTCCGACTGAAAGGCTGCCAGACAGTAAGTGCTGAGATGAGAGCAGAGACTTTGCCAACTCTGTTCACTTTTTACCTCTTCAAGTATTTTTTTGGGTCACATCTGACAGTATTCAGGGAATCACTCCTGGTGGGGCAGGGGAGAAAAATCAGACCCCTGCCCGCTGCACACAAGGCAAAGCACTCTACCAGCTGCACTATCTCTCTGACCTCCTCGTCAGACATTTTTATTTTTACATCCGTATAAGAGGGGGAAGACAAAAAAGGAAAATGAGTCAGGCTCTGAAACTGAATGACTAAAGGTCAGGCCCACGGGGATTGCCACCGGGCATGGTTAGGTGAAGCTGTGGGCTACTCAGCCAATACCTAAAACATCCCGCTACTTTCTGTAGACTCTGATTAAAACGCAAGAATACAAGGAGAGAGGTGACTTAGGAAACAGCCTGAACTGTTAGTGGAGGGCCTCTACTACACGTGTATTCATGCTGAAGGGAAAGAGTATGCCACTGTTTCATTCATCGGGTGGGCATCCTTGAACAAAGTTCTCAAAGGTTTATAAAACGTAAAAATAAAAAAAAAAAAAAAGAACTTTTCCTTGTACCCGGTTCTGTTCTCCAAACTAGGCAATATTGAAAGCGTCCCCCTAAATCTGGCCCCTTAGATAGGCTGCCTAATAGAGCACACCTTGACCGTGGGCCAAGTGGGAATCAAATCCGGGAGGAAAGAAAGTGCTAATAAACGTCTGGGCAAAACTGTCCGGCCAGGAGTGGCCACGCTGGCTCTGGGAAGGACACTCTGTTCTGCTGGCCTGAGAGCAGCGTGCAGCCAAAGGCCAAGGCTAAAAACCCTTCGTAGGAATCTCTGGTTGGGGTGGCTCGGGAGACCCGCTCCCTCCTTCGGAAGCTCTTTAAGGACACGGCCCCAGGTGGGCTTCCGGAGCCCCGCCAGGCTCAGGGCTCCACCGGGAAAACCTTTCAGGCTCTTTCACCGCCGGAGATGATAAAGCAGTTGTCGTTTAATCAGAGTGGCCCCGGTCCCTCCCTCTGGCTTCGATCCCCGCTCTGCCAATTTGCAGCGTCTGGTCCAGGACTTGGCTCGGAGGAACGGGGGTGATGAAATACCGGCTTAAACGCAAGAGCAGGTTGCGATGGAGAGGGGACGAGCGGGAAATCCCCCACAGCCGGATCTCGTGTGTGTGTGTGTGTGTGTGTGGGGGGGAACGTCTTATAGCAATAATAGTAAAAGGGGGTGCACGCCACCCCTCCCTGGGCGCGGGGGGGACGGCGTCACCAAGGCCAAGGTCACAGGATGCAGGAGAGGAGAGCCGAGCCGGGACGCCTGCGCTCGCGGGGGAACCTCGCTCCCCTTCGCTTCCTTTTCCCCGGGGGGTGGAGGGGGTTGGCAGAAAGGGAACCAGCGCCGGCCCGGGACCTGGGCTCAGGCCCGCGGGGTGCATCGCGACAGGTGTGGCTTGACGGCCCCACTCCGGGCGGCCGGTCAAGGGCACGCGGGCGCCCCCCCCCCCAGCGCCGCAGCCAATCAGCTCCCGCAGCCCCCAGCGCCGCAGCCAATCAGCGCGCGACCGGCCCGGCGCCCGCAGCCCGCGTGCGTTCCCCCTCGCGCCCCCCCATTTCCCCCCACCTACCCCACGCGCGCTTCTTCTCATGACCCCTCACCCTTGGATGGGGAGTCTGGGTGCCCCCCGTGGGTTACACTTCCTAACCTAGGGGGGCCCGCGTTTGCACGTTCTCCGGCGGCCCTGGGGAAGGGGCAATGCGGGGGTGTGTGGGGGGGGATGTAGGATCTGGAGGGAGGGGAACCTCGGTGCCACACGACGGCCAATCGCGACCCCCGGGGGCATCGGAGGAGGGTGGCGGAGACAGTGTGTGCGGTCGGTGGGCGCTGGCGAGAGGGACGGTGGCGGCGGGCAGCCCGGCTGGGCTGGGCAGGCCCCGGCTCCGTCTCCATCTCCCCGGCTTACCTGGCTCTGGCAGACGCCGCGGCGGCTAGGCCAGGGTGGAAGGCGGTGGCGACGCCAGCCAAGACGCGGCCGGAGTGCAGCAGGGCCATGGTGGGCGGCGGGAGGGCAGTGGGCAGCTGCGGAGCGGCGCGGGCGGCGGCGGACGGGCGCTGACACGGAGGCGCGGGCTCCCGCTGAAGGTAAGGACAGGGACTTCCCGGGCCGAGGCTAGAGCGCCGCGCGCCGCCGGAGCTGCGACACAGCGGCCCCTGGCGGCCGGCGCCGGGCGGCGCGCGGTGCCTCCGCTTCCTCCCCGGCCGCGGGGTGGAGTGGGGTGGGGCGACTCGGCCCACCGGAGCCCGCGCCCCCAACGGCCACGTGTCCCGGAATTTGGTGACGACACGCAGCAGCCCCGGCTCCGACCGCTGGACACGTGTCACTCACTTCATCACGATGGAGAGAAGCTTAGGGACCAAGTCGGTTGACTTGGCCTGGCAGCGTGCATCCATCCCCTAACCCAGGTGGCTGCCCCCAAATCTTCCACTCCTGGTTTCTCTAAGAGCGGGGGTCCACAGGTGCTGAAGGGAACGCCCCAGTCTCTCCGGGGTTATTTGTGAGGATTAAGTGAGATTAGCAGATTATGTCTGAAAACAGGGCCTGGTTTAGTAAACACTGATCACCTGTGTGTGGGTATTTTCTTTTTTTTTTTTCTTTCCCTTTTCCTTTTTTGGTGCCAGGCACTAACCCCAACTGGCAAAGCAATCCACTAAGCTAAATCCCTGACCTGCCTGGGAGTTGAGGACGAGCTTGTGTTTGTCAAATCCTTGCAGTTGTTTTTGTGTGGGAGGGACTGGTGACCTGGACCGTAGGGTCCTGCTAGCAGAGCTGAGGCTGGGTGATGTAAGAAGCTTTTATTGACAACAGTCTGCTAGTGGAACTAGGGTGGACTCTTGCCCTCAAAGTAAGCCACTTTTTTTTTTTTGGTTTGTTCGGTTTGGTTTTGGGGCCACACCTTATGGTTCTCAGGCTTATTCCTGGCTCTCCTGTGCTCAGGGATTATTTCATTTGAGGGTCAGGGCACCATTTGGGATGCCAGGGATTGAACCCAGGTTGGTCCCGTGCAAGACAAGTGCCCTACTCTCTGTACTTTTTCTCCAGCCCCCAGGTTTCTGTTTTATAGGTTAGGTAACTTGGTTCCAATAGTGTTAAAGTTCAAGGTGCTGATGTACAAAGGTATTGTACATCCCCCCAACCCTCCAGCCCTAGCCCTAAGTCACCTCAAGTCCCATCTTTTTCTCCCTTCTCTCCTCTCTCCGCTGCTTGTGAATCAGTTAGTCCAAGACCAAAGGTTTGTCATTGACAAAGCAACCATCTTTCTGCATGGGTACAAGAAGCAGTTTGTAGGGGCTGGAGGTATGTGGCAAACCCCGGCATTGCCTGGAGTGATCCCTGAGCACAGAGGCAGGATAAGTTCTGAGCACTGCTGGGTGTAATCTACCCACCTCCCCCCTTTCCCCCCGCCCCCCACCCAAGGGAAAATAAAAGCAGTTTTAATTTTTATTTTTTTTTTGTTTTGGGGGCCACACCTGGCAATGCTCAGGGGTTACTCCTGGCTCTGCACTCAGTAACTGCTTCTGATGGTGTTCATATGGGATGCCAGGGATCGAACTCTGGTCGGACGCATGCATGGCGTTTTTTGAGTGCAGAGGCAGGAGTAACCCCTGAACACCATTAGGTAGGCCCCCAAACATAATAAAACAAAAGTTTTTGGGGGGCCAGAGTGATAGCATAGTGAGTAGGGCACTTGCCTTGCATGCGGCTGACCCAAGTTCGATCCCCAGAGTCCCATATAGTTCCTTGAGCACTGCTAGGAGTGATTCTTGAGTATAGTGCCACGAGCAACCCCTGAACATTTGGGGTAATTGGTAGGATGATGCCTCTTCTAGGTTCAGACTTATTATATACAGAGGATTAGCCTTGGGCAAGTTTCAGGGTAAGGTTTCTGGAGATTTTAGGTATTTTCTATTTCTGTGTTATTTCTTCAAAACAAAAGTTACGTATACCGAGACCATTAAACTTATAAAATTTGCTAGTTTTTGGCATCACCAGAGATCAGGCCTACTAGGGATTAGGATTAGGTTTAAAAAGGGCCTAATGTTAGGGTTAGGGATGTGGAGGGTTTAGGTGGAAAGTGTCCTAGACAAAAAAGGGAAATGAATTATTGAACCGTTGTAAAATTTGGGCTAATTGATAGGATAATGCCTCTTTTAGAGCTCGGTTCATAGAGGTTTTATTTTTTTTGCTTTTTTTTGTTTTTTGTGTTTTTTTTTTCCTTTTGGGTCACACCAAGCAATGCTCAGGGGTTACTTCTGGCTCTGCACTCAGGAATTATGCTTGGGAACCATATGGGATGCAGGGGATGGAACCCGGGTGGAACCAATTTGGGCTAATTGGTAGGATAATGCCTCTTCTGTGATCAGGCTTATTATCTACATAGGATTAGCCTCAGGCAAGATTAAGGGTAAGGTTTCTGGAGGTTTTACCTATTAGCTATTTCTGTGTTTTACCTTCAAAACAAACATTAAGTGTACAGAGACCATTAAACTCATGAAAGTTAGTAGTTTTCGGCATCACCAGAGATCAGGTTTCTGGAGGTTTTAGGTGTTCTTACTGTGTTATTTCTTCAAGTGAAGTTAGGTGTGCAGAGATTAAATTTAGGAAATATGCTAGTTCGGGGCACATTACCAGAGTTCGGCAAAGCCTGGCAAGCTACCCGTGACGTATTCGATATGCCAAACACAGTAACAACAAGTCTCACAATGCAAATGTTACTGGGCCCGCTCGAGCAAACCGATGAACAATGGGAGGACAGTGCTACAGTGCTACCAGAGATTGGCCCTACTATGGGGTAGAGTTCGGCTTAAAACAGGACCTGGGGTCAAAGTGATAGTATAGCAGTATGGCATTTGCCTTGCACACAGCTGACTTTGGTTCTATCCCTGGCATCCCGTGTAGTCTCCTGAGCACCATCAGGAGTAATTTCTGAGTGCAGAGCCAGAAGTAACCCCTGAACATTGCCAGGTGTGACACGATGCCAACACCCCCCCCCCAAAAAAAAGTAAAAAAACAACAAGATAGGGCCTAAGGTTAGGGTAAGGGATGTGGAAGCTTTAGGTGGAAAGTATTGTATTCCCAGATTAAAAAGTGAATTAGTGATTAATTGTTAAGTTTGGGCCAATTCCCCAGCTAAGCTGTGGCAGCCATGTGCCTTGGGCCTCAGGAGGGGGAATTTGCTCTCAGGCCATGTGCCTAGGGCCCTCAGGGATGTATTGCCAGACCACCTGCCTTGGGGCCTCAGGGGGATTTGCTGCAGGGTCTCATGTCTTCAGTCCTCAGGGGTTGTGCCTCTTCCCTTCCCTCCCCTCCCTGCCCTTCCCCTACCCTGAGGGAACACTCCTGGTCTGGTGCTTGGGGTCACTCCTGGAGATGCTTGGTGACCAGGTAACAGGAATAAAACTTGGATGTCTTGCCTGAAAGCACCCCCTCCAGCTGTTGGAGCCATCTCCTGGCCTGCAATCTCTTTTCTAGCAGCATAGGTGTGTGAGATGCGAGTGAATCTCTGACATCTGTACCTGTAGTGAAAAAAGGGGACTTGGAGTGGGTGATGTTCAATCAATCCTAGAGGCCATTCTCCATGTTTGGTGGCTTTCTGCCAGTCCTGGTGTGCAGAGTAAAACTAATGGTGACCTTGGTCGAGCTACGGTTCTTGACAAGGAAATGGTTCACTTATTGTGTGACATCCCAGTAACGTCTGTGTTTATAAGGAAGTTAGGAACTGATGCACCAGCCCTCTGAACCCGGAGATTTGGTGACTCAGGGGCCTTCTCTCAGCTGGGACATCGTGTGTGTGTGTGTGTGTGTGTGTGTGTGTGTGTGTGTGTTGTGCCACACCCAATTATTTGCAGCTACAGGCTCAGGGATCACAGCTGGGGGTGCTGGGGGATGTATTTGGCAGAGAAGGGACACATGCAGAGCGTGAGCTCCGGGTTTATTGCAGTCTCTCTCTAGCCCTCAGCTAGGAGTATCTTACATATATGTACTTGGGTTTTTGTTGTTGTTTGTTTTGGGGGCTCGCCGGTCGCCCCCAGGGCTTAGTTCTGCATTCACCGGTCACTCCTGTTGGGCTTGGGGGACCCTATGTGGTGCTGGGGATTAAACCCGGGTCTGCTGTATGTATGCAAAGCAAACGCCCTCCCTACCCACTGTGCTATCTCACCTCATGGGTGCATTTTTAAAAATAGTCACACCTGTAGAGAAGGAGCTGTGCTTTCTAGGCGAGTGAGGGCAGCGGGTGGCCCTGTGGAGGTAAACTGTCCCCTATCCACGTCTTTGGAGCCATCCCCTCTCTCCTCCGAGAGGTGCCGTGGCCTCGGGGTCCTGGTTCCTCAGCTTTCCCTGCCCGAGCGCTGATTCTGGCCGCTGGTGTGTCTCTGGGCAGATGCTGCCCTCTCCTGGTCAGTTCTCAGAGTACTCCCGGCAGGACGCGGCCAGGGCTGATGAAGGAGAGAAGCATCTAGAAATCTCCTCAGAACCCTGTTCCTCTACCTGCCTCCACCTGACTGAATCCGGGGCCGCGCACTTACGTGCAAAGCCCACGTTCTACCAGAGCTGCATTCCAGGTCCCAGCTGACTTTTGGATGGTTATTATGATTTTACCAAAAATTCATTTGAATTGATCTAAGAGGAAGTATTCTGGTATATCATGTTTTACTTCAAAGACTTTTTTTTTTTGGCTTTTTGGATCACACCAAGCGATGTTCAGGGGTTATTCCTGGCTCTGCACTCAGGAATTAGTCCTGGCCGTGCTTGGGGGACCATATGGGATGCTGGGGATCGAACCCAGGTCAGCCGCGTGCACGGCAAACGCTCTACCCGCTCTGCTATCGCTCTGGTCCCTCAAAGACTATTTTACCAACTAGCTGGTGGGTCCTTCCTTAGTCCAGTCAAATTCACACATAAAATCACTCCTACACAGCATTCCCATGTCCATAGCTCCGAGTTCTCTCTTTCCTGGAGTTTAAAACTTGGATAAAAATAGCAAGAGCGGGCCGGAGAGATAGCTCAAGGAACTGAGTCCAAATCCTGGCACCACATGGTACCCCAGGTACCACCGAGTCACTCCTGATCACAGCAGGCAGAACCCCAAAGCACTGCTGACTGTGACCCCTAATA